TGTTACCGCTCTGTACCACTGAGACATAAATGAAACCTGATGATATATTTAGTTCAACTTGCGGAAGTCATTTGCTCTGATAACACCATAGAAGAGGAGCTTGATATCGTAACAGATATCCTGTCAAATTCGTATCTAGGTACATGAAGGAGATGAAAAATAAACCAAATTTCATCACAATGTCTAAAATATCTGTTTTCTATAAACTTGAATCCAAAAGAGATATCGGCAGCCAGATCATGAAGCAACATTTGAGAGGAAATTTACGCAGAAATTACAGTGCTGTAAAGCTATATCCTATCTTCAATAGTTGGTCAGTTTTAGGTGTATCGCATAAAGACAGACTTCCCAATTCTGACTGTTCCATGCACATTTATCAGTTTTACTGCTCTTGTGGAGCAAGTAACACAGGGTGTACAATTAGACAATTCTATCGTAGAATATTTAAACACCATCCAGTGCGGATCGACAAACAAATAAAAAGCTCATTGTTTTTACATTGTATTCCCTAAATAGATCTATCGTCTAACTTTGACATGAAACTTGTCTGGGGCATATTACTTATATATTTACGATTACACAGCTATGAAAACGAGCTGTCGAAAAGATAAATATCTTCTCTTTAAACTCCGTTCGTTTGACGATAAAAGCTATATGTTAGCGTACAGCTGTTGATGAAGACCTTACTGGAAAGAAACATTTTCGCACTCTGCCTTTTTTTTAAAACGTCAAATGGGAACTTTTGATGTGATAATCTTTATCAGAAAAGACTATAAATGACCCCTATTATGTACTTTACACTGGGGCAAGATGAATAAACACAATTTGAACAGTAACATAACAAAGGACTACAATATCACAATATCTAATGTGCTATATGTACGTATGGATGCATAGTTTTGGAATAGTCAGGGTAATATTACTTCTTACTCTAAAAATCTATAGGCATCAAATTTTTACTAATTGTAACCGATTTACAAATCACAAAATCCACGTTGACGTTTCTCACAGCTGAATTATTTTTCCAACTGTTGAAAACCACCCGGTAAGATGTGATATCTGACACAAAAGTTTCGTGAACTAACGAAGTATACTACTGAAGAACATGAGTAGTTACACACCACTCACAGTGATGTGTGGACTTTGCTAGCCACATTAGAGTCATCTCATCACTGAACGGCCGTTTTACTCGTTTAAGTAATTCAACTCTGATGATGAATCTATCTTGGTAAACCAGATATGAGCTCGGCTACTTATACTCAAATGTGTACAGAATATCACAATCTGTGATGGTACTTTTTCTAATTACCATGTGATACAAGCGTACTAATAACGAGTAGATATAGTTGACCTGTCAAAACTTATAGATTAAAGTTGTCAAGGCTACATAAATCGTTTGAAAATTCAGATGGGTAGTTGCTATTTTAAAAAAAGTATTTAAATACGTTTTGTGACCTCAATTCAATACTGAATGACACTGTTAGCAAATTATGCTCCTCAACTGCAGTTATCGAACTTCCTGTAGCTACACCTCTGAGTTCCTGACCCATCGACTAGAAATAGGACCTTCTCTTCAATAGGAAAAGCCATTTCAAACAGATAGTAAAATGAATTTATTTTAGTGACTAGCAGCGGAATCCAGGATAATCATTTCATCCCATCCATGACTCTTCAGATGGATGTACGTGCACCCTAGGGAGTGATGTTCTTCGCGTTGAGATGGAACCCCATGCCCATCGCTTCAAACGCCGACAGAGGTCGAGCGATTCCCCCCTGTATAGCAACAGGAAATTACAATAGTCAAACAAAAGCAGTTGATATCTGTTGCACAAGAGGTAGCTCTCATGCCCCAGTTGATTACGCTTTGGTGTTTGAAGCGATGGGTAGGGTGGTTGAGTCTTAATGGGAAAAGCATCACTCGATGGGGTTCAGGTGTATCCAACTGAGGAAACCTGAATGTCTTGGATTCCACTGTCATTCACCAAGATGAATGCAACGTCATGAATATCCGCATAAAAGCCCATCCGCCAACAGAGGTCGAGCGGTTCGACACTGCATAGCACCGGAAATGACAAAAATGTAAACAACAGGAGGTATTGTAAAGCTTATACATAGATTTGCTTCCCTTGTTAACTACAAGAGATTACAAGTACTAGTTGGTTTGAGTTGTTCCTTGTAGACAAACGTGTATAATGTTCATGAAGGAAACATCTTTTCAGAAAAACAGTGATAGTAAAATGAGTAAAAAACTCACTAGTAAGACATAAGATTTGAAACAAGAAATCAGATACTTTAAGGATACTCATTACCCTACTAAACCAATAACTGAATCCAATAGGAATTGTTATTAATAGTAATAATGGCTAAACTGTGAAGAAAGAATTCAATCGTATACGGTGTTATCATTATAAGGAAGGTACTCTAGAGATATTATACACGACTCTCGATGAGGTTAGGATAAGAATGGCTTTTAAACCGACAAAATGACTTCGAAACAAGCTTTGTAATCTATAACATCTTATTGATGCAATTAAGTAAAATAAATTAGTTTATGAAATCCCTTGTAAGAATACCTAGGTCAGATACATAAGTCAAAATAGTTAGCCAGGATCAATTAGGATGTCCAAGAACAAAAACCCCCCAAAATCAGAAAGCTTTGTAGAGGGAGAAATGGATAACTGAAGCTTTGTTCATCAAATCATCATTGAACACATGCAACAAGAATGACTCAACACCTACTCCAGGTATTTAGACATACAAGAAGGAAGAATGAGTAGTTAACTTTACTACGAAAATTAACCAAATATTATGCTCATTACAACATCTAATAAAACAACACTATTTCGCTGTGTGATACGTTCAATGAATCTACTGAAACGTTACATTCGATTTTTTTTTCTTTATTTTGAAATGAGCTAACTAACTTCTTTTGGACTGTAATATTCAACGAAGAATGAAAATTTTATGACAATAGCATTTTCATTTTCTAAAGAAGTCTTAAAAACTTCCCTGAAACTTTTCGCATCTCTCAAGTCGATCTATGACATTACATAATTCAGACAATTTACTTCCCAGTTTAGTTATATGTTGAGTGAATGCTAGCGACAGCTTAAAATTGTGTATATCGTGATAAATTTTCGTCTGATAAACAGATTTGTGCAAAATTCAGATGCTGTCTGCTGCCATTTTCACAGTTCTTATAAGTAATGGAGAAAGAGAAACATTATTAATCTCAGTTAGGTTAAAACACTCAGTGTAATTCATATCTTAACTTCGGTATCATTCAATGTCATCGGTGAGTATTTTTTTCACACACCCGACTTGGTTAGCCTCACGAATCACTGGTTCTCATTAGAACTTCAGGAAATCCATCTTCAAGAATGTCACTAACGAGCTGTCAACTAATTTTAAAGTAGTATTCATTATGGACTGACATCAGTTGGAGATATTTAATGACATATTGTATTATTTTACAATTATGACGACAGTGGGACGAGAAAGATATATTTCGTTTAATTAACGATTCTTGAAGCCTTGAATATGTCACATATAATGAGACCACATGAATAAACTTTAGTGGAAAAAAAGTAGTTCGAACATGAGACTGTTGGTTGCAACTCAATTATTTGTATCAAAAAGTCACACCTCGAGGTCTCAGAATCTAGAAGGATGAAAATTATACACACCTCACTAAAGTTTTCCTCACAGTTATGAAAAGCGACTTAGCTATGATGATGCGTAGCGTTGCAATTTGATCTGCACATGATTTGTACTTCCTGGATCCAGCCTCTTCTGGTTGTAGTTTTGAATCGAGCGCATCCTTTAGTCTCTCCAGGATGATGTAGCTTAATATTTTGCTTGGGGTGGACAGGAGCATGATTCCTCAGCAGTTCTTGCAAAAGCTTAGTAACATGTAATACAGTAGACATTACACATAAACATACCAGTCTATATAGAGACGAGTAGACACAAATATGAGAAATTCTACTTAGGTCAACTCAACTCACATACTTTCAAAGAACAACGCAAACAGTGAATGAATTGAAACAATGTCCACACTTTTATTACACACAATGATATAAAAGAATAAAAATTAAAATTATGCAAGTCATGCAATAATTCATACAGTTGTACATAATTTATTCTGACAACATATAGTAAAACAAATAATATGATGATAAAATGACAAGAGTAACTGCATCATTGACTAACTGAAATGCAAATCACCAGAAACAGAATGTTACCAGTGAATTCAATTTATATTGAACATTGACATTGATGAAAAATTTAAAGGCGGGAAAATGAACAAAAAAGAAAAGAGATTAGTAAAATTTAGTCAACATTCAATCCTATTCGTCAGCTTTTACTTTACCTTATAATTTTTTCCATCTACAATGCTGATGATGATAATGAAAACAAAAGAGTAACTGAAAGAAGAAACGATAAAAAGTATAACAGCAGTTTATCATACCATTCAGAAGATTGTCATAAACGTCTTCTATAGAAACTCAAAGACGCTTTCATTATCTTTGAATATGAAGGATGTAAGAAATCAAATACAAATTAAGGAAAAGAAAAAAAAAATACTTTAGAAACTGAATATGTAAGATTTAATCTATAATAAGTGTTCTTAAACTGGATACTTTTCGGTAAGAGAACAATGTTTAAAATCCCGCATAAAAAAGTAAGTTAACATGAAATTAGACTCATTATATCACAATATCAAGAGTATTTCCTTAATGCATACACTTATTTCCCTATAATAACAGCGTACAAGACAACATTGGTGTGAAGTAAAAGCGGAAAATGCGGTACAACAATGAAGTTATAATTAATTTTTGCATAAAAAAAAAAAAAAAAAACTTGAATATAAAAACAAGCAAATACATAAGCAAATGAATATTAATAGAACAGAAAAGAAAATAATGGAATGAATTTTTTTTTTCTTTTAGGATAACAGAGAATATAATATAACCATATAATGATGATAGGTTTTCTTGTTAAACAAGTTGAACTTCTTCAAGGATATCATCGTCAAATGATGATGTTGATAATAATTTTGGTTTATATTTACGATTTTTATTATGTATACGATTTGTGATACGTTTATTAAATAATTTTGTTTTAATCAACGATTTCATTTTATTCATCTCATGAAAATCAAAATCACAATGAATTATTCGTTGATCATTAACAATGTTATCTACCTCTTGTGTATCATCATTATCATCTAGTGCTAACAAAGAGTATGGTCCACGTTTAATTTGATTACTTGAAGATAATGATGAGGTGTCCAATTTACCAGCTGAACGTCTTACAATAGCATACGGTGTACGTGGTTGATAACAGAAATGATAATATAGACAGATAGTTAAAGTGAATGAAACTACCACGATGATTGAAGCTGTAGGAGGAAAATGGAAATATTATGTGTAATGAGATTAAAATATCTGGGATAATATCTGTTGATAGCCTCTACATTATCGTACAAAATACACGAAATAAAGTTGAAGTAGAATTGATAGAAGGCAGAATTTACATTACAAGTCATCAGTTGCTAAGGTGAAAGTTTTGGATTTCAACCCTAGGCAGGAAAAACCGCAATGGACGATTTCATCCTATAGGCTGAACAATCAAAATAAATATCCAACTTCTAACCTAATGTCTTTAGCTTCTGAGGAAGATTGTATATAAATGATATGTCGTTTTTGTCAAACAGAGTGTCTTCCTTAAAGTCTTCTGATTTTCGTCGCTCAGTGAAGTATAAGGTCCTGAGGGAGAACAGTCACTATTAGTATCCAGTTCAAGTGTCTCATTCAGGTAGAAAAGTTCTCATATTTCGTTTTATTATGTTAGTTACTTCAATAATGATAGGAGTTACAGTCAGTTTTGAACAAACTAACTTTATCGGTTGAACTAATATCATCAAGTCTTAAATCTCATCAAACTATGTTCATCTGTTCTAAATCAATTTAACTTAAATTGATAATCCTAACCAGATACACACAGACACTTGCTCGCTTGATTCTAAAACAAGAATTATACAGCAGAAGAAATTCAGCAACTAGCAATTTGACAAATCTGACAACTGGCATGTGAACTTTCAACGAAAGTCTAGGTTTCAAATGAGTTTAGATTCATATAGTGTGATAAATAATGTGTGCATATGTGTACAGGTTTGTGTACTAGACCAGAGCACTAGCTTAGTTAGGTCACAACCGATTCTCTACATAACTGAGGTATATGCTTACATCAGTCATAGAATGATGAACGTTTTACCTTTCAATATAGAGTTCAGCAGAATAAACATTCGATTGTTTGCATTTTTGTCACACGAAAAAAAACCCAAAACACTGCTATCATATTAAACAGATGAGTCGATAAAGAGAAATTTATCTAGGAAAAGTATGTGGACGAAACGAAACAGTAAACATATTTTCTCGTCTATGTCCCACTTTACTGCAAACTAGGTTTGATAAAAATTCTAAGTTATACAATAAAGGCTACATGTTCCAAAGATGTAAGTACAAGTAAGGGGAAACTGACAACTTTGCGCAACACATCGATCAAAAATGGCCATCCTGAGAAATTTATAAAAAAAGTATGATTAAAATCGGCAAGAAAGGATATTCCAACCACTAGTGCGAGACCAATCTACAGGTAACTGCAATTTTGAGGTGACGCGTTTGGCAAGATATCAATTCGAAAACCGACTAAGACCGATTCAGAGGACTTTTGGTATTTATAAATTACAAATTTCGTTTAACATATGCACAGTAGTGACACCGAGACTGAAAGATGACGTGATATAAAGTTGACTGTCGAAACAGCAGTAGAGAAAATTGCTAATCTACATCCGAAGGCTAGCAAACATCACTGGATTTTTGCTCTCACCACGATGAAGAAGGAAAGCAACTTAAATGTAAGTTGGCCAAAAGTCTTTCCCTCGATCACGAGCAGTGCAGTCCAACAAAAGTGAAAGAGATGGAGAATTCATGGGCGTTGGATAAAGTGTGGGCAACTATTTAGGCTTATCAGGGATACCGGCAAGAAGATGACGAGGGGTGAAACCTGCACCGAAAACGATGGGACGCGGACAAACTCTCCCATGCCAACCAACCAGCAACTGATCCTTTGTTACAATTTTGTTTCTGAAAACACTTGTTTCGGACCATCCCTGACTTTTAGCATTAGGAGAGTCACCGTACTACATGGGGTCCGCCGACATCAAACCAACGATGGACACAAATAGATCATATCCCCATGAACCATAATTCGAGAGCATCAGTGCGGGATTGCCACTCTTTCCAGAATCCTGGTTCCCACTCCGACCACACTCTAGTAAGCTTTCCGCCATGTCTATCCCTTAACGGTACCAGTAAACAGGCGATAGTAAACCCTCTCTATAGTCCATTGGAAAATGACAACATTCAGGGAGAAGTTAGCTAATCATTTACCTGAGCGTCAGAGATGCTCATGCTCAGGAAGCCTAGCGGGATATCAACTCTGCTGTAGAAATGGCGGCAAAGGCAGCTGGTAACCTACATCAGAAAGTGAGAAAACGTCATTCGACTTCCGCAACCGCATTCGAACTCATTGACGCCAGAAGACTGATTCTAGCTGCCTCTCACCACGATGAAGAGTGAAAGCAAGCAACTTAAACGTAAGTTGGCCAAGTCTTCGCGTCTATCCTTAGCAGTGGTGGGTGACGAAAGAGAGAGGGATGGAGAGTGCATCAACGTTGAATGACAAACAGAAACTATTTGGGCTTATCAAGGATACCGGTGAGAAGACGATGGTGAGTAAAATCATCGCCGGAAAAGATGGGACGCTGATAACCCCTCAGGATGGACGGCTAAAAGGTTAAGCAGAAAACTTCAAGAACAGTCCAATGGGCCCTCAGCAACACTTCACTTGCCCAACATCCACTCTGAACCTAAATGGGACGTGGATATCTGTCCTACAACTCTCCTTGAAGTTGGGAAAGTTGTATCCGACCTGAAACGATGTAAACCACCAAGCCCTAAACAGTTTACCATGTAACACTTTCAAGGATGGAAGTAGGAAATTTCTGCACAAACGTACGGCGATACTAGACAGAGTCTAGGAATCAGAACCAGTCCCGTCAGACTGCTACACTACACTGATCATCCCACTCTATAACAAGGGGAAGAAACCTTGTAACAACCAGAGTGGAATCAGTTTGACTAATACTGTGTCCAAGATCCTAGGCTCCATTCTTATCCGATGCACAACTGGAGCTCGAGAACAAAAAACTCGAGAAATCCAGACAGGTTTCGAACCTGGACGAGGGCACACTCATCGTATTTTTACCGTACGACAGGTTCTGGAAAACAGGCATACTTACAGGACAATGGTAATATTTGACTCAGATGACCATGAGGCATTGTGGCAGTGTCTGACTGTGAAGGGACTACCGGAACAGCCTAACTTTAATCAAAGCTCTCTACTTGAACTCACGCAGCCGTGTCACGGCTATAGGCATTTATCATGTGTAGTGATGGTAACAATCGAAGTTCGCCAGGGCTGCCCACTCACTGTTCCTATTCATAGATACACTAATAGACATAACTTTAGGTAGGTTTGATTCAAAAGGATTGATCTACTGTGTGGAGGTTATTCCGATGACTTGGAGTATTCAGACGATATTATCGTGCTAGGTGAAGACCCCGAGTCTTATGGACGCGTTGAAGAGAGATCTGATTATGTTTGACTGGCATGGATTTCGTACCAGTCAAATGTAAAATGATGCTCGAGGACTGGTCTGATGCAACCACTCCCAATTTAGTGGTAAGGACTTAAGTGGCGGTATGTGCCGACGACCTTACTTACTTAGGGTGTTGCATCGGCCTAGACAGGGTAGTTGCTGACGAAATTTCAACTCAGGTACAAAAGGCTTGTTTGGCATTTGCCAACTTGCGTCACCGGTGGTGCCAACTGATGAGATATCTGACTATCAATCTAAGGACGAGTATACTGTGCTTCAGTCCATCCTATCCTGTTGTACAGGTGTGAGAAATAGCAGTTAAAAATAAGGGAAATGAAGTGATTACAGAATTTTAATCGTAAGTGTCTCTACAGCATTACCAGGGTGTGGTGGAATCGGCGTATGAGTAATGTTGTGGCCAAGAGACGGATACTAAGCAAAAAAAAAGCAAGTCGATTGATGAGGCTGTGAATCTTAGTCATGTAGTGTGCATGCCAAGACCCCGCCCACCTTGACTTGCCATGCCAGGGGATCTTGGATTAGCTTGGTAGAGATTTCAGGGTGGTCAAACCGAGACGTGACACCAGTCGTTGACGTCCCTGACTGTTGATCTGAGTCGCGTAGGGATATAGACTATTTGGGGTCTGCGAGACGAAAGGAGTCAGTGGTTGATGCATCTTGGTGACCGCTGAAAATCTATCACAATGGTGCGGATGTATCCACTCCTTGACATCTTCTAAAGTTTGAATATTCATACTGAACGCTATCTACAGATTGTTTACTCTCTCATATAGCTTTGTTTCCTTTGATATCAATCCTATTCTATCTACCTCTTCTTTTTGTACTGCTGTAAAGTGTAGCAACTGGAGCTAAAGCACTTGTGTGCAAGGTTCCAGCCAGGTTGATTTAGTCAGTCAGTCACTCCCTGTTGTTTATCAGTTCCACTGCTCTGGTGGAGCTGGTTACGTCGGCCGCTATCATACCAATTTAATCTTACGTGCTCCAAAACACATCCCAGCGTGGGTAAGTAGGAGTGTGGTAAAGACTATTACCAGCACATTATCCCAATTGGTTGAAACGAACCATACGGTGGATACGAATGAGTCGTTTACATTCTGTACCACATTCCCATCAACTTGACAGCAACCACAACCAGTACCAATCACAATAAAACAACCCCAGTCATGTATTCAAAAACAAACTAGTTTCGCCGATATAACAAATGTGGTCGGATTCATGATACACAAATTCATCAGCATCATATCCCAATTAATCTAATTCCATACTCCACATACACCATTCTTCCCCACAATCTTGAATAATTTCAATACATTCTATTAACCCATTTTGTCCAACAACATGAGTAACATTCTATCAAGTTAGTACTCTCTCTACTCCTCAAATTATCCCTCCCACTTTCTTTCATACAACTCTCATAAACACCTTTCTATTGTTTTATTAAACCATCACCTATCATGGTTTACCTTCGCAGTATAATCGTTTACATAGTCAATTATAGTGCATTGAATTCCACTAATACTTGATTCTATCATCAACCTTCACACAAGACTTTTCTGAAATAACTTCTTTAACCATGTAATATTGCTGACAAACTGATAAGCGAAATCTCTATATTGTTGACCTGCAATTCCACAATGTATATACACATAACTGTAGAACCTGAAGAAGAAGTTATCGAAAAGAATATACTTTGTTCACTCAAATGGCTTTAAAAAAAATTAATTTACTTACCAATCATACCAAGTACATATAAACGGTAGGCAGCTGATAAACCACCAAGATGTTTCAAATAAAATATATGGTGAATTGGACTTTTCATTATATCAACATTAACGATTTCACTATGATCCAAATAACCATGAGCTCTTAGCGTGAAACGATACATTCCCGGTGGTAGTATCACACTGAAACGACCATTTCGATCACTTGATCCAGTAGACAATTCACTACGAATATAGTCAATATGTATGCGAACCCATGGTATTGGTTGGTCGCTTAAATCCTATTAAAATAAATATTTTAAACAAAGAGGAAATATTAAATGATGATGATGATTAATCAATCAGATAAACATCCAGACCAATGTGTTGAGATGGTTAAAACAATTTACATTCTGTTTTAACTAGAAATGGAGACAAGATATCTTTGGATAATGGATCCTAAAATACTATGCATAGCAGATGTGTTTTGTAGCGTATCGGTCTAAAATATATCAATGTTGTGCCTGAAAGTGATGTATACAAACTATAAGAAGTATTCAGACTCAGTGAAGTGCGCCTAGACAAAAGGTACTTCTCAATATCTTAGGCAGGAGACGATAAATCGTTTTATGAGAAGTAGATTAGGGCGCAGATCGATACAACTCAAGTGTGTAAGGCCAAAACCTACGTAAAGTAAACTAGGGCTATTATTTATACATATACTTTCAGATATTATAGTTTCATCAATTTATTTAAGAACAAGAGACGTTGATAGTTAGCCTATTTCAGCCTGCTGACAACGAGAAGGAAGAGTAACTGACATCGTTGATCACTAGCGATAGGAAACGTCTTCGTTTCATATCACACCGGGTATCAAGTCAGCGAATATCGTTTTAAGGTCGAAAGTCAGCGTATTTGTTTCACACCACGACACTAAATACGAGTTCAACTTTCTTATATGGTAAACCTCATCAAAGTAACCGTTCTGATATGCTTAGCTCGAGTCCATTACTATAACACCAGACATAAACAAAGTCTTTCGAGTTCAAAACTTCAATATCCTACCTAATGTCATGTAAATAGTTAGAAAGCCAGTAACACTTGTGGACAGCTAACTTTCTCTTTCACAAATTTAGATTTACCGACTTCACACCTTTTCTTACGATATGGTCATTATATTTTTCTGAATTTTTCAAGGTCTCTTCCTATTGGTTGAAATTTTTCATTGCATCAATATCCTCAAATTCGAACACGGTAGAAACCCTATGATAAATACACAGGCGTTCTAACGCACTGAGACAATGAAAGTTCTCTATTCAAACTAAAGTTCTCCACCCCCATTACCTCTTATCTGAAGTGTTTCAGATGTTAGCATCCGGGAGACCGATTCAGAGGCTTTACCGTCAATTGGTGCCACCACGTATATTTAAACAAACGACAGGATGGAGTAGGAATTCAAAAACAGAAGTATTCAATCTACATCTGTTTTACGGTTGAACATAAATGACCGCTTCTATATGATAGTGAGCAGTCCTACTAACAGACTTCATGCAAATGGTAAATCCATCGTCAAGAAGAAAGAATGAAATTGAGCTTCAGCAAGGAAAGTTAGTGACTGATGCTTGAATAATTCTGTTGATTTGAAATCCACAACAAACATGGGTTTAGCAATCTGACGTCAAACAGTGTATGGACCATAAAAATAAGTATTCTGGTATCGGAATGTTGTAATTAAGTCGAGGTTTAAAAAGTGATTAGTTTCAGTCAGCAAACGATAACAGTGAAACAAAAGTCTGCATAAATAGTGATATCGTGAAACAACTAACCGAAAACTTTCTAAATAACAATCAAACAGTTAGTATTCAGAAAAACATGAAAATTTATTGAGGATGTTACACCTACAAAAATGAAAATGTTTATTTTAGAAGTAGTATTCATCATGGACTGACATTAGTTGGGAGCCATTGGAAATCTGGGAGCACTGGACAGCTGTTTCGCCCTAGTGTGGGACTCCTCAGCAGTACGCCCCCACGACCCGGTTAGGGACCGAACTCAGGGCCTTTAGGTTTCACGGTGAACGCGTTAACCATCCAGTCACTGGGTCGGTTTCCAGTGGTTCACAGCTTTCAACTTCTGTCCCATACTAGGACGAAACAGCTGACCAGTGCTCCCAGATTTTCAATGGTTCCCCAAATGACGTCAGTCGATGATGAATACTACTTTTACACTGAAAAAAAAATCCTCATTCATCTCGAAACTTTTTATGCTTGAATTTTATAAATTTACCTTATAGAAAATTTGAATTATCATTTTCGAGCCTATTTCCGCTCAACATGTATCAGTCAATTTTATCACTTTTAAGAACGCTGGTTTTCGATCGGTTATTGCCTCACTTTCAATATGCTTTTTTGTCTATTCGCCTCAAAGCGGTTTACATTTTATATAAACGTATGAGTTTCGACGATAAGTGATCACCTTCATATTTCGATTCAAGTAAACTTGCTTCAGTCCAATCTTATCTTTTTATGTTAGCTGATCCAATTTTCAAGTATCGTATCGTTCATTCAGTAAGTAGATCTTAAACTAATCATATCAGAGAAATGTAAAATAATTGAATTCTAATTTTGTTTTCTTCGGGATGCATAAATTCTAGTTTTTTTACTTTTTACCTTTACGTAAAATTAATCATCATTATGATTATCGATCCCAAGAGATAAAGAGCATTAGAAAAGTAAAATGTTTAAAAAGCTATTTTAGCTTATCGAAGCTACAAGTGAGAAGAAAAGTCATCCCAGCAACACAGTTTTGTAAAAGAGATCATGAATGGATCTAAAATCTTCTAAGATGGCTACAATATCGGAAAGCATCCATTCGAAAAGCAATTTACATGGATGAATTGTAACAGTCAGTTTGAGAATAGCCTTATTATTCAGTTGAAATTCCCACAATTGATGAAGTGAACGTTCAATAAAAAATTTCCGAGAGATAATGATAACACGAGCCATCTACACGAATATAAACACGCCGAATTCAATTGTCTGCTAATAGACATTACACAGTAAAATTTAGAAGGAGGCAGAAATGGTTATAAACTCAAACATGCAATGATGTCACACACACACATACACACAAAACAAACAAAAAGTGGCTAACAAAAATGATTATGAGTTAAGTAAGCCTAAAATCTACAACAAATTAACTAAAGGGAAAAAAAAGACTCACATGAACATGACCTATCACACCAAAACTTCCCAGACCAGTTAAACTAGTGTGCTCAATTAGGCCAACTAGCAAGCTTGGAAATCTGTAGTCTGTCCATACTCTAGCAACACCAGATGGAGTGGGTGAAAAACAACCAGGACACAATGTTAGACCAATACTTGGCGGTATCATTAGAGGCAATGGTGGTGGAAATGATAAACTGGATTGAAGTTGAAAATCTGTTGTTTCTTCTAAAGCCAACTGTGGGTTCATAGAGGCTAAACCAAGAGCTAGAGCAGCTGCTTTAGCAAATTTATTCTCAAGTTTTTGTTCACGTTCATACTGGAAACGAAAATCACCAGGTCTACGACGTCGATCGGCAACCTTTGAAAATGTTTTCAAGAACTGTGGATGATTTATTGCACACATACTAGATGGACGATGAAAACTAGGCGAAAGTAATCTGCCTAAAAATCGTAACCAGTTATAGCTTTCTAATACCAAATCCTGACCATAAGAAGATTCACTAGGATCTAAAATGAAGTAAGAAAAAACACTACGAATCCTCAGCACAAGAGTCTATCGATCATTGAACTAACTGAACAGCAGCACTACATACACTTATGATCACTTCACTTTATCACAAGATAATAATAACTTGCCTGAATCATAGTTAATATCGGGTATTTGATCAGTTGGAAAACTTATAATCGAATCTGCTTGATATGACTGTAACCATTTCAGTAGAGCTAAATTTTCTGGTGCAAGTGATTTCAAGGTAGATTCGAAGCTAGATTTTGATTCCCACCACCAATGATGGCTGGTTGTCGAGTTGCTTCCCGTAAGACCTGAAAACAGACAGTAGTAAGGCAAAATATGTATATTTGAAGTAACTGTTCTTCAAGACTTCAGCAAAACGGTTATTGAACATAAACTGTATAGTATTATTAACTATCATCGTCATCATGTACAGCCACTGATGAATGATCGTTTAACGAACTACTAAACTGTTAGAAGGTACATATGACACTTGATGAATGAAACAAGCTACAATAGCATTGAGATCTTTTAAGAGTGAATGGAGAGAATAGCTCTTATAAGACAACATTAATGATAAGAACAGGGTAAAGAAAAAAAGGCAACCTAGGATCATAAGAAGTTGAACTCCGTTGTCGTAAAATGAAGGTTTAGACATGTCGTATATATTCTATGATAAGAACGGCATTCATACATATATACCACTGTTATTACAATTTAGTAGTATCGCTTCTTAATCAATAGACTGAAATCATCAAGCTATCACAAGCTACAAGACATGCTAGACGATAATATAACATTCTTACCAGTAAAAACAACAAGTAGGTAGCCTTGAGAAAAGACACTTAGTAACAGCTCACTCACAACAGTGTCCATTTATAAAAAACCAATAACATAAAACAAGACTCTTATTCAGAAACGTAACCATTCTCTATCACATGCACGTGTACTAAGCTCTGTGTTTCTATCAGTTTTTATCTTGGAAAGTTACATGCTGAATTAAATCTCATTTTATAATCCATCAAACTTTTATATTGATATCAATGATGGACAGTGGAATCTCAGACGAATGTTTCGTCCTATTCTGGACTCATCAGCCAGATATCCGTCACTCCTAGTGGGCGATGCTGTCCACACTACGACTTGAATCCGGGACCGATTGCTTCAACAGCCATTCTCTAGACTGCTGAGTCACAACGGCCACCTCTTGTGCGACGGGTATAGTACACCTTGGATATTACAGCTTGTAATTTCCCGTAGTTGACTTGACCGCATTGATTGGTCCCGGGTTGGAACCCTACTCGGAACACCATCCCTCACTCACAGGCAAATACATTCAGCTGACGAGTCCCAATTGAGGCATAACGTACGTTCTGGATTTCACTAATAGTTAGCTTTTAATACTGATATCAAAATTGAAACGACAGGCAATACCGAAGCATCCGCGCATGAGCCCATATGCCAATAGATACTGATCAATTCGGTCCGATCAACGACGGGATAATGCAAGTAACATCAAATTCTCTATATAAGTTGGAGGAAACGATGAAAACTAGCTTCGACATCGTGCTGAACCGCATATCATTCTGAATTCGGTTAAATGCATATGAATCCGATAATCCGACTTATCCCAATCGGTTGGTTTGATCTATATGTTTTTCACTTTATAGTCATCGTATGAAATATTAAATAATCTTGTCTGACTGGGTCAACAGGATGCCTAAATCAACAAAATTTGTCTGAGTTTGTAGATTCGAATGTCACCTGGGTTCCATCCTTGTTAAGAATTCTACGTACAGTTTTTAATGTTCCTTCTTTATATCGTAACACACAGGAAGGCTTGAATCTCTTCTTGTTGGTGTTGCAGTTACAATTCTTAATACCATTTCTGACTTCCATATGTGTTCTTAAGAATTTCCCCAGAAAACTGTCTAGGAAAACTGTTGATCAGTAGTTTCTGCCATATACGCTTCAACTCCTTAATTTATGTACTTTAATTTAACAGTAAGTTTTTTTAATTCCAATATTTTAATATTGAACCAAACCCGCTTTAACCGATATTGGATGACATGACCTGAAGTTGAGATACCTGTTAAAATGTATTATCGGAAGATATGTGATCACTTTGATATGATTAATACAAACACTTTATAGTTTAAACCTCGTCTAGTAAGTACTGCTGTATTATTGTATGCATGTGTTGTGCATGCCAAGCGACCACCTACCTCGACGTCCAATGCTGAGGAGAATTGGATAAAGTTGGAAGAGGCCTCAGTGTGGCCAGATTAGGATACCTCTGACTGTTAATCTGAGCCGTGTAAGGAGGTGTAGAATACCTAGTTTAGGTCTGCAAGACGATAGAAATCAGTGGTTGAGGAATCTTCGTGAAATAGCAGATGCATTCACACCTTGTCGTCTTCTACAGCTTGAATGTCCTGACTAACCTTAATTTTCGAATTCGGTCTCTCCTTCCATACATGTTTATCTACCTCGATATGAGCCTTTTATCATCCACTTGTTCTTTCCCTGCTGCTGTAAAGCATGACAGTTTGAACCTATGGACTTGTGTAGAAGGTTCTACGTCGATTCTGTCTATCCGCCTGACTGTATGCTAGCTGTATAAAAAAACAAACCTAATGTGGAATAACTTCTTATTTATTTGCAATGACTTCAAGTTAGTCAGTCGATATCAGTATGGGACATGCGATATGGGACGGTAAGATTTGCCACACCTTACATTAACACATCAAGCGACAATAACTCTAACTTGAACTATAAAACATTAATCAATGATATGAACGAAAAGAAAGGCTGAACCATCTCTACTGAAAACCACTTGTGAGACTAGAAATCTTCAGTTATCCGAAACCCGACAAGGGATACAAATTGAACAGATTTATTATAGATAAGAAATTAGTGTTACGTGTCACAATGTACATTTCAGTCTATTGCATAAGCATATAAGTATATTTATGCTGATTTATGCAATGCAGATGTAACCAAACAAAGTCTAGCACACACGGGAATAGAGGCAGAATCCAAAAGGTTCTTTAAAAACCGAAACGGTTCAAATACATACAAAGATAGGAATGAAAATATGTAGATTTCAGGTTAGTGTTCATTACGAACTAACATCAATTGGAAAACCATTGTAAACCTTGGAGCACCAGACACTGTTTTATCCTAGCATAGTGCTCCTCAGCAGTGCGCACCCATGGATATTAACCTGAAGTCAAAAAATAAAATGTAACGAACCTCCCAACTGAATTACCCTCGTCCTTATTAGTCACTCCCTTCGGTTCTCAAAGTCCTAATGAGAAGGCGTGACCAGTGGGGCAAACCAAGGACGTGAAAACTATTATCCAACGACGACATTGGATAGACGTCGCACTATACAGTGAACCGACAGAAGTAAAAAAAAAGTGGATCATTAAATTCGAATCCAATGTTTTTATGAGAACATGTTAGCTGCGGAACCTGAAGGCCCCGGGTTCGATCCCTTGTGGGGTCGTGGACGTGCACTCCTGAGTCTCATACTAGGACAAAACAGCTATCCAATGCCCCAGACTTCCAATGTTTCTACGATTGATGTCAGTTCAAGACGACTTGAAATCAATAAATAAATGGCAATAAACCTCCGAAATGAAAGTACATAAAGTTGAAAGGATTGATTTTACGATTTTAATAGCAGTCACTAGTTTATAGGATCAGGTATTCACATATTACTCTAAAGGCATCAGTTCGTGCAACTAAATAGCAGTATTACCTTCACATGAATATTGAATCCCATGCACAGAGTGATGAAATCAATAAAAAAAGGCCATTATATAGGTATACTTACTGATTAACTGTTCCCATAAATCTACACCATCGTCATTTGTATAGCCAAGAGGTATTGTGTCTTCAGCGCTAAAAGATTAAGAAAATTCAATGAACAGATAACTGATAAAAAATACACTTAGAATATGTACTAAATAAAACAAACTGTGAGCAAGATAGAATATATGTAATCATTGATCAATGAATGAAAGCGTAATCCATTCATTTATAACATTAATCAATAACTGATCTCTGAATGTCATTCTCTAAAAGTATGTCGAATAAATCACCAGGCAGATACTATGATCATTCGCTGAATTACCACGAATAAGTATTTGGTACATGATGCTTACTATTTTAAAGTGTTTACTTCACCAAGGAAATATGAACTGTAAGGGAAAAAAATAAAACGAATGGGCAAACTGAACAAATACGCTCAGTTAAATCTATAGTGAAATGGGTGAAAGAAGTAATCCCGTGGATATGAAGTGGTTTAAGATATTACCTTAATCTTAAGTCCTTAATTGTTTCCCCTTTACTAATCAACATTATTACTCAACATAAACTAGAAATAAAAAGTAAAATACAACTTGAATGTTTGATAACAAGTAACACAGATAACTCTATGCATATTTTATGCTTACTGACCATCACATCACCAGTAAAGGACATTATCATGAATTATAATCTAATCAGACTTTATGCTACTAACAATTAGACAGTAAGATATGAGTTACCAGCCTAAACACCTGATTTATGAAGTTGGTCAGTTGGATTCACTGGATACTGAGATAATGCTTGGACAACTGATCCCCAACACTACTACTGCAAGTTTGAACACGACCCAGAAACTTCGATAAGTCTTCAGCGGGATAATTTACTAATCTGACACCCCTTTCAGTGATAAAACACCTACCTCACAAGAGGCGGAATCAAATGCCACTTTCCAGGTCGATAAATATGGCTGGTGTCTAGCATCGGTAAATGTGTCTTTGCTACAACATCTAATGGGTAGCAATCTTCGGCTCTCGAGGAACACCATCAACTTCGAGGTTACCAACAGGTTTTGAGGATAATTGCCAACAAACGATTACATCAAACCACACAGTAATCAAAATATGGAGCTAGGAAAACTAAAGTGTTGAATTGTGGAAGCACAAAAACAGATACGATAATATACCTTTCAGAATGATAACAATATTCTCGATCAAACGGTAAGTTTTCATGATTTTTCCAGCTGGATGTTGCCGACTGTTTTATCCATGACTTGTGCAGACCATCAGGATTCGGAACTGGAATGATAGTGATTGTGGCGGAATTGAGTAAATTATTCACAGTCGACTGACTACTACGACTATCGCATAGAAAATTTAGAAAATGAGTCAATAATTGAGGTGTTAAACGATCATGACCGTGTAAATTACCAATAATGGCTATATTCGGCATATGCTTCATTGAATGATTCACAGGATAGCTATCATTGACCACATCAAAGAGAAATTCACTGTCTGATATTATGTTTGAATTTGTAGAAGCACCAGTTAGCGATGTTGCATTCTCTATTTTCAACTCCAAGGTAGTGTACTTAGGACCAAGTGTAAATGCATAAATAGGTCTACCCTGAAAGGGAAGTCAGTATGTGACAGAATTAAAATAAAAAGTATAAAACTGTAAATGATAATAATTACATGCTTATTTCAACAATCCTGCTGTCTTGCAAAGAAGAGGCTTATTAACTTAAGCGCTTGACTTTGCCAGGGTCATAGGTGACGCAAGTTGGCAAATGTAAAGCTGGCCTTCTGTACCCGAGCTGAGACTTCGTCACTGACCAGCCCGTTCGTGTTGATTTAAATCCCCAAGTAAATGAAGTGGTCGACACATTCCACTACTTCAATCCATATCATTAAACTGAAAGTACGTGCGAAAGCCTAGTCCTGAAGCATCATCTTACATTTTTTAAGTGTGAAATGCATGTCAAACATGCTCAGATTTTCGCTCAACGGCTTTCACAATAGCTTCAGCCGTACATATACTAAAACTTGAACGATACTGAGAAGATTAGCATAGCCACTGTACAGGGGGTGAGAAGCCAAATCCGAGAACAAACTGCAGTAGTAACATTTTCATCCTTTCAGCATCAGTCATTGTATATTGTATGATAAATAGGGTGAAGATTTATGATACACTAGATGATAGACTGAAGGAGTTGATAAAACCAAGGAAATGTGAAATCTCAACACTCCGAGTTATACCTTCTATTCAGTCATTTGTAGCGCCACCATGATATCTCACTGTCTATTAAGACTCCGGTGTACCTCACAACGGTTGGCTCTATTATACTGTATCATTATGAAACATGGCCATCAGAAGAAGATATGAAAAAAGTTCCAGGTGTGCCACCACCGTCATCTTCGCAGAACTGACCGTGTGTCATGGAACCACTAAGATGATAAAATAGAAGCCAGTTATACACTTTTCGTCAGGAAAGGAAAGTCACTTGATGAAGTTGTGAACCTTTATCGACTCAGGAGTCTAGGGCTTCTGTTACGCATTTCTTGTCACCGTCTATCACATCCCGCATTCCTACCTGATAGAGGTTCGGTTAGGAGCCAACAGACTAAAAGGCGGCAGTAGTCCATGCAGTTTTTGACTGCTGTTTTAAGCAGTGTATGGAAATTTTGCCTTGCGGGTTGGAATCCCGGTGACAATCGAAACTGTTGGTTGCAGACTTAAGGTGAGAATCGATTGCAGTGGCACAGATGTTAGGAACTTTACCATTGTTAGACTACTCCTTACTATATTATCATGATTTCCTACCACTTTTTGACTTTCTTTCCCGTTTCTCTACCTTTCATATTGATGCCCTGTACCTCGATGCGGTTGATACTACGTGTACTAACTTGGACAGCTACGCACTAAAGTCAGATGCTGAATGACTGATACAGCCAAAATCAAAATATGACCCAGGTAACGATAATGTGTACTAGTTCACATCTTCAAAACCAATACAGGGAGGATTACTGATGATACAGATGGCAGACAATGTGATGATCGATGGAATGTCTACCTATGAATTATTGATATACTTCGCAAAATTATTTTGACCCTTTTTAAAACATGTCAAGTACGCTAGAAGTAGCATTATTATTATTACTATTACTATTATTATCATTATTATTATTATTGGAACACAAACATGGTACAGCAAGGGCACTGAGAAATGCGCCACACAAAATAACACAACAACATTACGGAGACAAAGGGATGGGAAATGGATAAAAATAAAACACAATAAGAATAGTATGATCAGAAGGGCAGTCCAGTGAGATACATTCAAAATAAAACATTCATCACTCTTCAGCAGTAGGAGATAGAAGGAAGCTTACACATGACCACCACTGGTTTCCACTCTCAACCGTATCTGATAACGTCTCAAGTCACTGAGTTGCGTGATCTCTCCGACCCAACCGAGGGAGTCATGATGCACCAATAGATTGGTGACCCGATAGAACTATGCTTCTTCCCACGCTGCCACGTCATACACTGGCCACCCCTACGCCTCTTCCAATTTAGTCCAAGAGATAGTAAACAATGAGCGGCGTGGAAGCCATTGGGACGACGTGCGTAACACATGTGCAAGTCACCGAATTCGGTGTTTTCAGATGACTTCACTCATTGAATGACTATCTCCTTCCCATCCAAATACACACAGTCGTACCTCGCAATTACTTACATGGTTTTGCCATCGAACAATCCTACGGAGACAACGATGACCGAACACATAAGGTCGTCGCACATCCTCAGCTCAGAGAAGCCAGATTTCGTAGAAGTAGAGCGGAACTGCACGTACCAAAGCGCCGTAAACCCGACTTTTTATGGTCAGACTGACGTCACGATGGTAACCTACATTGACGTATCTCGCTCTGGCTTTCGATATGTGGTTAGAAATTTCACCACTGACGCCTCCACCAGCACTAACACAGCTACCAAGATACACGAACTTTTTGATTACTAACAACGGCGCACCACCAAGGATGAGCGCAGACACAGTCTCCTGCCAATCTTGCAAAAGTACTTTGATTTCAATGGTGTAAAGCATACGCTATACTTACGGACGCTAATCGCCAACTGACTAAGTGCGACTTGAGTAGCCTGTGTTATCACACAGTAAGACGATATCGTCCGCATATTCAAGGTCGAGTATCCCTTCTCCGGTAGTAGATCTACACCGCCAGCATAAGATGAGACACACAGAAACTTAAGTAGCAGAAATATAGAGACAAGAAGCAAGTTATAATAAAACCATCGAAAATTAAGAAACATTAAACATTTGTCTACTTCTTATCTAATAATTAGTCAACAGTAAACATCAAAAGAGAACCCTGTACGATTCTGCAATGCTCACGAACAGGAATCAAGCTTGAAGCTCCTAATTTTTAATGACGATGATTGATATGTATATTTCTGAGTTTAGTAAAGAAGTTACAAAATTCATTGGTTTTGATTACTTGTCAACGCTAGCGCAGAGACCATTCAAAGGATACGCTGACTTACCAAACGTGACTGACCAACTGAAAACATTTTACCACATGAAGACGTGGGTGACTCAACTGTACGCTTGCGCATATGATTGTAAATATCATCTGGATCGTTGAAATTAATTTCACTCAATTCTCTTTCTAAACGAATATTTGACTTTCCATTGAAATGATCTAAATGAAATGAAATAGCCATTGCCACCTGTTCGTATGCATCGTCTAGAGTAGAGTTCTCTGGTCCAGCAGAGGAAAACATGAGATAAGTACCTGAATATATGTTATGAAAAATAGGAAAAGAAAAAAGAAAGATACTTCAATGAAGTAAACAATCTTGAAAACAAAAAATATTAATCAATCGGATTCACACACCTTTAAGACTGATTTTAAATTCAATTGTCAATCACTGGATCCATTGGTTCACATCTCATTCAAATACTTCAGCTTACCTATCTACTTTATTTAAACAAATACAAATTCTAATGGAGTAGATTGGCAGGTAAAATATTGTTCATTCAGGTTACAGAATTTCGGAAGTATAGTTCGTTAGCTTATGTATTCAAATTTCAAGCCATGGATTTTATGTTCATAATCTGTTGCACCCCTTTCAGTCTGGGCAACCGGCTATTATCATTAACCCTCACAAAACATATGGTTAATACTCTACCACATAAACTTGTGACGGGTTTAGTTGCATAATTTTTATTTATTACACAGAACTAGAAAAGGAATAAAACAGACAGAAATATGAAAAGAAAGTAACAACATATAGAAGACATTGAAGATTTTTAGGGAAATAAAGAACAGATATGCTGTTGACAAGTTAGCGAATGCCGAACTCACTTTGTGTATCCAAGCTGAAACTAGCCCGTTCAGGATGATCCAACTCCCCAAATAAGTGAAATGGTCGATATATTCATGATATAAATGGTACAATGTTACAATCCCTGATTTGATTACAACGATATTGAATCTACAGTATCTCACTTATATAACGTTTATTGGTAAAATCTTCCAACTTTCCATTACTGAATCCCAGTTAGATTCCTGCCTCGCTTACTTCGGTTTGGACAATCAGAAAGTGAGATCCATGGCCTAGTACATAAACCTGTTCCTACTAAGTGAGCTCAGTTCAACTCAAAAAAACAGCTAGGAATCTAGCTAAAATATGAATGAGAAATATTAAGAGATTTATCTTAAACAGTGGAAATGTGATATCCGACGTACAAATAGAACCAAAGAAGAACCGTGCACAAAAGTATATCGCTTCAAACAGTCACTTTTCATAATAGCATGGAAAGAACAAGTGGATAGAAAAAGACTGATATCAAAGTAGACAAACGTGTGTATGAGATGAGAAACAATTTGAAAACAAAGGTTGAGGAAAATATTATTAACTTCGAAGACGTCAAATAGTGAATACATTAGCGCTATAGTGACCGATTTTCATCCATGTCACCAATAGTCTTCAATCACTGATTTCTATCGTCTAAGAAAACAATAATATACTTTTGAGCTAATCATTAAAGTATGAAGCAGGCAGGCGCTAGCACAATTGCATACCAAATCAAATTGTCAAAATTTTATAACAACATAGTAAGAAATCGAAAACATGTTGATGTACCCTCAATACTTCATACAAAATACAACCAACATTAACATATTTTCTTTATAATTCAATTCATACTGAATGATATTGGATATAATTTTAAACCATTGATTCCGGTAGGTGTTCACAGCAAACCTTAACTAAGAAGATTATAGTTCCGTACACACCTCAAGTCAATAGTTGAGCATTACTTAGACTGATACCAGGATAAGATTTTATCAGTCCGATGCTTCTGACCACATCTGATGAGTCAGTTTGCAGTTAGAAAAGCATTAGCAGTTACCACAACAATATTATGTCCACCATCTTAAAGAAGGGGTTCTCATATATACAGCACAAATTCTGTAAGGAATCAACTATTAGTTGATTTGACGAGTTGTGTAGTAACAAATTACACCATCTTACTAACTGAATCAAAATGCATTGAATTTCCAGCTTATAACTCCAACGTGGGGAATACAATCCACAGAATACTAAACAATAACTTCAGAAGCAGTGATTACGCAACTGCAACAACTCTAAATCATCGATACAAAAAGCCTAGAAGAAAATGTAGTAGACTACATACAAGAGTTAACACTTAATTACAGAAAATGTAGGGAAATAGGCAAAACACTACGGGTTATACTGATCTGAATTCACAATGGGAAGCTCAGTGATGCCAATGAAGTCAAGACAGGAGTAAGACAAGGCTGTCTGCTAACACCCATGATCACCCATGATTGTAGTGGACTGGCAACGAACCAACAAACAACCAATCGCTCAACAAATATGCAGAAGGAAGTGGAGAAACATTGGGCATACACTGAGAAGACCATTGCGGGACGTCACGCATCAGGCACTCGAGTGGAAACAAGATGGGAATCCAAGGCGAGGGTGACATGGAGGAGATCGTGTGAGGAAGAAATGAGAGCTTGTGGGCAGTCGTAGAGCCAGGTTCAAAAGATTGCAGAGAAAAGAGTGCAATGGAGACGCGTTACTGAAGCCTTTTAAATCCATTAGGAACCCAAGGGATAAATAATAATAATCGACAAGAAGATAGATTACCTGGAGGAATAAGTTCACAAAAATGACCAGTTGACGAATTAATCTTCATAGACAACCATGTTGAACTTGACTCTTTATCAGAGGATTGATTAGAATGTTGAAAGAAATATAGTGCAGGCTGTAAAAGAATTTGTGGACTTGGAGCTGCAACCCATTGTCGACGCTCTATTAGACGAGTTATCAGATCCGCTGTTAATGGACCTGATTCAATGAGCAATTGACCACAAAATGATACTGAAAAAGAAGAATATGCATAGCTGATACAAACATGAACATGTAATACTATATTAGATTGTTTATTGGATCGATATAGCACACAGTGATAGAGTATAATTTACTGGATGACGTTCCGAGCAGAATTCATTGCTCATATTCATATCAAAGTAATCATCCGATTTTGAAACTTCCTTTATATGGTCCAACGGTTATTCATTCTTTTATCCTAACGGTAGTAAAATTTTCCAGATGTCTGTAATACGTGATGAATCATTCCTATTACAAGCTTTAAGTGTTAATCCGATGAGCAAGAATTCTATGATAGATCTTGCCAACCTATCCTACCCTGAAAATGTGATTAATGGTCAATGAAGGCACAGCAACAGACGAGTTTTTCTTCACACTGCTCATCTCAACAGGGTCTGTCACTGTATATTTCGCTAAATCGATGTGCTCTGCTGTGCTAACTGACTTCGATAGGCTATTTTAACCTACATACTTGACCTCACGATTATTATATGGCACTTCATAGATTGAGTAATTTTGATTATTTCACCCCGCTGAATCTTTTAGTCTACAAGGTTCCCCTCTGAGGGAGTATGTCAGTTTAAATACATATATCATAAACTCATAAGTTATCAACAGAATTCCTGAGTGTAAAACAGTCTAGAATTCATTTAGCATATTCGATATATTTGTTGTTGATATATTTCACTTTACTCTGGTAGTTATATGCATAACCGATCGACCAACCGATAAAACAGATAAGGTGACTGAATAGTAAAGTTTATAGTAAACATCTATATGCAAGTCACTCAAATGTTTACACATCTTGAAATTCCTACATAGTTTGTTTCTGTACACACTTCTACTGGTGAAATATCTTATAAGCTTGATATAAAATCAAAGAGTTGAAATCAATTTCCATGTTCAATCTTCTAGGCAAAAGCATAAAAACATTGTATATATGTTTTTGAATATCCTTCGTTATCTTTTCTATCGACACTGTGGTAAGTGATAAAGAATACGAAACTGATATCATAGTAATATACTTCCAGCCTCTATATTAGATTTCTTTTATTTCATCTAGCATACAGTGATCTAGTATTATTTATTTGATGACATTTTGAGCATAAATTATTATTCCTTATAACCATAACATACAACTTTCAACATCTGATTTTTATAGTCTTATCATGTATTATTTGTTTTCACTGATGGTAAAAATTTTTACATCGCCAGTATAGGTGTTGTGTCAATCCTTTTACGTGTGTTTGGTGGATACTGATTCTAATATCGTAATCATAATAATAACAGTAATGGTAATGATAATAATAGTAACAATAGTAATAATAATCGCTTTATTCCAAACAATATACATGACAGTATGGAATTCTCAGCATGTAATTCCTCAACAGATTCACTTCAAGAACAACGCTTTCAGGTGAAACGGTTATTACATCTGAATAATATTATATTATGTTACATATTATACTACCAATATTAATGACAGTATTGAAGGTAGTAATGCGAAGTAGCCACCTGGTTCTGAATGGGCATCCGGTTCATAATGAGGAATCAACAGAAATGCAAGCGTAATTTTGGTGGTGGTGGTTCATTCAGTCAGTATAAAAATCTGCGACTCAAGTTAAATATTTGACGAATCGAAATATGATGTACTTTTGTGCAGTGAAAAGTCCACTTCCATATAATGTCACATTTTTTCTCCGCTTTTTTACTGACTCAAGAAACGGAGAGTTGGGAACAGTTTTAAAATGTGCAAGAGTACATGATACGTTCAAAGGACATATTTATATGATTAAAACAAACTGAAAGGAAAAAATTTAGTGAAAAATGTTCGGTGGATAATTTTGGTAGCCGAAGGTTCAAGCAGGCCACCGCAATAAGGAATTAAATCTTACCACAGTGTCAAAGTTTTACACTTATATTTCAGCTTCTAGAGAGCATGTCTCAGAGATTCATTTTCTAGTTTGATCAGTAAGTTCAAAGAACGTGATTTGATGAATCAATAAGCTTTCCTCATAACCAAGTTTTTCTATGGTCTGTAATGGAAGTTTTAAACTGCATATAGTTTGTGTATGTTTGATTAGTATTAAGCCCAGGCATACGGAATCCATTTGTAATATGTTATTGTGAGTTTTTGAGAAATTTGAAAAATCCCTTATGAATTAATATAATATTATTAAGACTTAATAGAAAGATGGTCAGGATTTCTAATAAATATAAATACCAGTGAGTCATATTTTACCCAAGATGCATGAATCCAGATAGAGTGACCTCACAACCTAATAAAAAGTATAAGATAATGACTGTGTGCAAGAGATCAACTTTTATGAAGCTAAAATTTAAGAGAGAATGAGAATAGGCGGTAAAAGAAATGGCTATATTGATAATGTTTCACCAGTGCAGCTGCTTCTGATTAGTCAACTCCATTATGTGCACGGTTCAAAGATTTAGCCTACGTATTACAATGACTGGTCACTTCAGAGTAACTGATTTCATGTTGTCGAAGCCTGAGTGCTGATCGAATTCTATCGATGATTTTGCAGTGCCGTCACCAGGCTAGGAAGCTCACTATCGCAGTGCAGTTTGATGGGTGTTAGTCAGTTGGAGCAGATCGGCAGGGCTTCCTAAAGATGACATCAAATCATCTAACAATATGTTTATCATTCAGCATCTTACTTAATAATTTACGGCCTACTTACATTCTTAGCTACTGAAAATATTTTACATCGAATTCCTTCCTTTCCACTCCTTTTAGTCATTTAAATGTCAACAAATCATGAAACGTACTCTGGCGCATTCATAAAATCTCTTCAAACTATCGTTTAGACAGTTAAAAAGAAAATTACGAGAAAACATCACGGTAGATAACAATGAACCCCTGAGCGCACAATAGTAAAATCGTATAACTATTGTGCGAATAGTCAGCTGGAACTGGAGATTTTCATACTGGCTGAATGAAGCTCCACCACCGAAATTGGGGTGCTTTAAATAATTAGGTTGTATAAGCTGCATAGATTGGGGCATACCACTAATGAGCCAGGTGCCGAAAGGATAAAATAACCATATGGCGTTAAGATCACCTTCACATGGCAAGATGCCCGACCGATAGCTGCTACCTTGACGTGGTGGTCGGGCTTGCATATCACAATGACCCAACGAGCTATGCTGGTGGAACGCTTGTTCCCTCGAGGTCCTACCATACCAGAAAGGTCTGTTGGGTAGTGGTTAGACGAAAAGCAGTTACCGTTATAGTGTAAATTGCTACACTATGATGGGGGTCTGAGGGCGAAGTCGTACTGCTGCTAGCTGGATGGGGTGTGACAGCAGTAAGGTGTTTCCCTTGGATGACCAGCAGTGCCAAGCTGATGCTGCCTTCTCAGTGGAAGGGGGGGTTAGAAAAGGTCGGCCCCAAAAATAACACACTCCACCACGCCCCACGGTCTGCCGGGCCGGCGGTGTTGGTTCACTTGTCGTTTCCTTTCGCTCATCCGGCCCCAAAAATACAAAAATTCAAAATAATCATACTCAAAAGGCTGGGTGTGACAGGCCTCAAGCAGATGTCCGATGGGCTCTGCGGTCACACAAATCTCTTTCAGGTACCTTAAGAAGAAATAGCCTTCCACGGTGTGGGCAGCCGGGAAGTGTCAACCGCCCTCACAACTCTGTCAGCACCCAAGTTTCTTCTGACTGCTATCCTCCTCCTCCATCATTACCTTCTAATCTTCCTTCACGTCTCTTAATTAATGATGCTGCATCATCTTCAATTTCTCCTACCTCTGCAGCCTTCGACAACGATCTGAGTCCACAGAACAGCATCCCTGGTCTCCTTAAACCACGCTCCAAATTACATATTGGAGCCTTCAATGTCCGCACCCTCCGTCAAATTGGCCAACAGGCTTCGTTGGCAAAGACTCTAGCAACTCGGGCATGGATGTGTGCTGTGTTTGTGAGACACGCATACAGGACCCAAGTGTGGTTATTCACCTGACCTCTCCTGACCAATCTGGTGAATCTGCAAAATTCACCCTTCGAGTTTCTGGAGATTCGATAGCTAGCTCTCGTGGTCTTGCAGGTGTAGGTATAGCATTAAGCACCAGGGCAGAAAACTCACTACTAGACTGGATCCCAGTTGATAGTCGCCTCTGCGCTATGAGGCTGAACGGCACAGTGAGAACTAAAAGGAATAGTGAGACTCGCCGTTGTCTCTTTGTAATCTCTGCTTACGCACCCACTGACTGTAGTTCGGATGAAGTGAAGGACGAGTTCTACCATAAACTGTCTAACCTCCTCTCGAAAGCCAAACGTTCGGACGTAGTGGTTGTTGCAGGTGACCTCAACGCACAGGTGGGTAGACTGAGTGAGGCAGAAAGGCACTTAGGTGGCACTTTCGGAATCCCAGCTGAACGTACAGATAACGGTGATCGCCTATTACAACTATGCTCAGATAACCGCCTATTTTTAGCCAGCACAAATTTCAGACATAAAGAAAGGCACTGTCTGACCTGGCGTCCACCGAGCTCGACTCAGCGATGGACACAGATAGACCACATTGCTATTAGTCATCGCTGGAGAGGATCGGTGGAAGACTGCCGCTCCTTCTGGAGTACGTGTTTGGACAGCGATCATGCGTTGGTCCGAGCACGTATATGCCTGCGTCTCAATGGACGTAGAAAAAATTTGGCAACAAAACCACTACGAGTTCTGCTGGACAACGAAAACACCAAAGCCGTGTTCAGTGAGAAGTTGGCTAGGCAGTTATCGGAACAAAAGACTGTCACTCATCCAGAAGAAGCTTGGTGCCATCTTCAGTCTACTGTAAAAGCAGCACTGGAGACTGTAGCCGACTCCAAGATAATGGCTAAAAAGAGCCAGTGGATATCAGCAGCTTCTTCCAAACTAATGGATGCACGTGAATGCATCCCTGCAGGCTCTGAGTACAATGAAGAGCGAGCGCAACTTAAAAATAAACTGACGAAAAGTCTGCGCAACGATCGTGAACAGTGGTGGGCAGCAAAGGCTAAAGAGATGGAAAAGGCAGCGGCGATCGGTAACAGTAGACAGTTATTTAGACTTATTAAGGAGACTGGGGGGAAATGGTCAACAACAGTTAGTGAGGTTATAGCGGAGAAGGACGGATCGGCGATTCACTCGCAGGGAAGGCGACTGGGACGATGGGCAGAACACTTTGAGGAACAGTTTAACTGGCCTCCAGCCACCATTGCGCTGCCCGCTATCCAGTCGGACCCTGAATGGGACATAGAGACAGGTCCCCCAACACTAGAAGAAGTTGAGAAAGCGGTAGGTAGCCTGAAACGGGGAAGGGCAGCAGGACCAGACGGACTACCTGCTGAGGTATACAAGAATGGTGGTAGAGTTCTCTTAGTCAGGCTAACGGAAGTGTTAGCCAGTATATGGGAATCAAATACGATCCCCTCCGACTGGTCTAAGTCACTCATCATCCCAGTCTTCAAGAAAGGCGAGAAGTCCTCTTGTGATAACCACAGAGGAATCAGCCTGACAAACATAGTGTCTAAGATCCTAAGTTCTATAATTCTCCGACGCCTGAGTGGAGCTCGGGAACAGCAAGCCCGAGAAAACCAGGCAGGCTTTAGACCTGGCCGTGGATGTATCGACCAAATATTCACACTGCGCCAGGTCCTGGAACATAGGCATGCTTACAGACGCCCGACAATAGCTGTATTTCTCGACCTGAAGGCGGCATTTGACTCCGTTGATCGAGAAGTCTTATGGCAGTGTCTGTCACTGAAAGGCGTGCCTAGTAAGTACATCACCTTATTGAAAGCTCTCTACTCGAACACTTGTGGGCATGTTAGAGCCTATGGTGAGTTGTCCAGGGAGCTATACTCATCAAGTGGTGTCCGTCAAGGATGCCCACTATCCCCATTCTTATTTAATTTTATCATAGATATTCTTATGGAGGTTTCCCTCTCGTCACCTAATTACAAAGACGTTGACCGGATCACAGGTGAATTTTCCTTAGATCTAGAATATGCAGATGACATAGTCCTGTTAGGTGAAGACGCTGACAAGATGCAGAGTCTTCTGAACACTTTGAGTGGGAATTTGAGAATGTTTGGGATGCGATTTTCACCACCCAAATGCAAATTTTTGCTCCAGGACTGGTCTTCAGCGGTACCGCGGTTAACAATAGAGAGTGAAGTGGTTGAGTGTGTTGACCACTTCACTTACCTGGGAAGTAGGATCAACCCGGTGGGTTAGTTGCCGATGAGATTTCTGCACGGATACAAAAGGCTCGATTGGCTTTTGCCAATTTGCGCCACCTATGGCGCCGCCGTGATATTCGTTTGTCTATTAAGGGTCGCGTGTACTGCACAGCAGTCCGCTCTGTTCTACTGTATGGCTGTGAAACATGGCCATTGAAAGTGGAAGACATGAAAAGCTTCAGGTTTTGACCACCGTTGCCTTCGTAGTATAGGACGTATTCCGTGGTGTCACCATGTGAGTAATGCAGAAGTTAGGTGTAGAGTTTTAGGGAGAAGAGGTAAGTCAGTCGACGAGGTTGTGAACCTTCATCGACTGAGATGGTTGGGACACGTACTACGTATGCCTAGTCACCGATTGCCTCGTCACACAATGTTGGCTGAGGTGGGTTCAGGCTGGAAAAAGGCCCGAGGTGGCCAGACTAAAACATGGCACCAATGTATGAAGTCTCTGACTGTTGGTTTAAGCCATGTAGGACGATGCAGACTAGGTGGTTGGGGTCCACGGGACAAGAGGAACCAGTGGTTGGAGACCCTAGGTGATATGGCTCAGAACCGAAGTCAGTGGCGCAGATGTATACACACATTATCCTCATCTTAACAACGCTATACCGAATCTCACTATTTTGTCACTCCTCTTTCCTTTCTTCTCGTACTTTATATTTCTTTTGACTGCATTCACTTATCTTCATCCTTCACCTCACTACCTTTTTACTTGATGTGCTGATATGAGGTGTGGCAACTCGGACCGTTACGCAGTAATGCCTGGTCCTATGTTGATAATGATGATGATGATGATATGGCAAGATAGGAGTGCTAATTAGTGTGAGTAGTCTACAAGCAAACATATCAGTCACTAGTATATTTCATGTAGCTTTAATGACCTCAATCTTGACATTATTTATTGAGCTGACCAGATCATACTGCAGTCTGAATACTTTGGTTTCATAACTGCGTCCTTCTCACTATGGACTGTATTTTGCAAAACATCTAATTTGAAAAACTGTATCAGTGCTGGTTAGAATGGCGTTTCGAAGAAATTTTATTTCATGAGTTAATATTACCAAGATGCTGTAGATAAACAGTTATCAAGTCCATATGGCACTGCTTAAAATTTATTCAAAACAGTTTAAACGAATGCTTTAAACCTATATGGAATTTCAAAATATTACTTAATACATATTAGTTGTTTCTGGTATGATGTACTCTATCCTAATTCGTTTTTATGTATCAAGATGATTGCTCATATTCTCGGAGAAATGATTCCGATTATGTTCAGCTGATAGAAAAGAATACCAACTCAGTTTTCAATATTTCATCGACCATGAAGATTATTTTTCTGCTGTTCAGTTACAAAGTGTGAACAACTGAACTAGTGCATTATTATATCAGGTTCTACAATGTGACCATTCATGAACAGAAAAGCACTGATATAAACCATATTAACTAAAATGCTGACAGACTGAATATACTCAATTTTCAAAATATACACACAAAAATGATGTTTTTTAAATAAACCGGCTATTTAGTTTACTGTATGTACTTACAATTTCGAACAGCTGAAAATAATCTATCTAAACCAATCAGAGTATAATGCCATAATTCAGGCAATTGTTGACCACTTGAATATGAACAGTTAGATAGATAACGACAACCTGTTTGTAGACGTAAGATAAAAGGCTCCCTATTGTTACTATCCATATTGTCAGTTTGATGACTACTACTTGAGAGTGAATGAGATAAGAAATTAGATGTAAATGGTGTTGATGATATGAACAATTTCGATACACGTTCGTCAGATGATGCTAATAAAACAAAACAAAAAAGGAATCCGAATAATAATGTCAATGAATGCAGAAAAACACATGATGCGATTGAGTGAAATTGCATATAAACAATATGAATAAGAAACAGAGAAAACAGTAGACAAAATGAAAAAAATCAGCTTTCCAAAACATAGTACTACTTAATTAAATATACAACAGATACCAATATATTTGAGAGGTTTGTGGAGATTTAAAGACATTTCAAGTTGGTATTCATTGTAGACTGACATCAGTTGGAGGAACAATGGAAACCTGGGAGCACTGAACAGCTGTTTCGTCCTGACATAGGGCTCCTGAGCAGTGCACACCCACGAACCCACCAGGGATCGAACCCATGGCGGTGCTATGTCGTGAACTGACAGAAGTTGGAAATATGTATGATTGGATTCCAATCCAGTGGCCTAGTGGTAACGTACTGGCCACGAAACGCGAAGGTCACGGGTTTGGTCCCTGGTGGGGTCGTAGGTGCGCACTGCCAAGGAGTTCTATACTAGGACGAAACAGCTGTTCAGTGCTCTCAGGTTTCCATTGTTTCTCCAACCGATGTCAGCCTACGACGAATACCAACTTGAGATACCAATGTGTTAGAAGACTAACAACAGTATTCGTGGAGAAAGGAAAGATTCGTTAAATGATTTTCAAAACTGTCTCGATATGCAAATTACCGCAAACAATGTGCAAAAAGACTTTAGTTTGAGTATTCAATCCATTTCAGTCATTCCCATAAGTGGCAATCAGTAGTGACATGAATATTTCACATGAAGTGCAGCCTAGTCAACAAATATATACTAAGTTGATAATGGAACAATGAACTATCGACAAATTCTACTTTACCTTCCTACACCCTTAGCTAATTTTAGGAATAATGTGGTCTGGGGTTATCAGGATTTATTTTTAAGGTAGCATTCATCACCAAGTGATACCAGCTGGAGAACCATTTCGTTTCGTCTCAGTGTGGGACTTTTCAGCAGTGCGTAACCATGACCCAGGTACCGGTACAACTCAGTACCTTCAGTTTCCACGGTGAATGCGATAATCATCCAGCCACTGAGTTGGAGTTCAGTGGTCCACAGTTTCCAACTTCTGTCCATTCTTGATACAGTGCGACTATCGCCCAAGGTCTTCAGCTGACATCTGCTTCACTTCCAACTGGGCGATCCCACAGGTCATGGCTCCCAGATTTCTAGTGGTTCTTCAACTGATGTCCGACTGTGATAAATGCTACCTTAAACATGAAATCCTCATTAACCTAAAAATATGTTACTAAATAGTCCTCACTGATGACATGCTTTGAGGTGGATATCCTGAAGTTAAAATGAAGAGCTGTGACCTGTGAGGTCAACCAGGAGAAAGTAAAGCAGATACCAACAGAAGACCTTGGGTGATAGTCACACGATATTACGAATAAACAGCAGTTGGAAACTGTGAACCAGTGAACTTCTAATGTGGGTGAATGATTAATGCGTTCACCTTGAAAACTGAAGGTTCTGAGTTGAACCTTTAGCTGGGTCGTAATGGGTTCATACTACAAAAGAGCACCTAAACTAGGACGAAACAACTGTCTAGTGCTCCCAAGTTTTCAGTGGTTCTCCAACTGATCTACGTTCGTGATGAACGCTACGCTAAGAACATAAAATAGATTACTGACTTACAATATTTTTTATATAATGAAAGTAAACAAAGTAGACATCCAGAGCATATATAACTGCAAAAGCCATTTGAGTGAACCAAGAATACTCGTTTCGATAACTTCTTTAGGTTCCACAGTTATACGTGTACGTATTAAGGAATTACAGGTCAACAATATAGAGATTCAACTATATAGGTGAACAGTCGGAAGAAAAGTTTTTCAATGTTGAAATCTCGATAGATGTCGTCAAAGAATTATTGATCAAATGTACGATGAATTTTAACTTTAAATTTAACAGCAAACTATATAAACAAGTGGATGGAGTCGCATTGAGCTCAGAATTGGGTCCCATATAGACGGACGTTTTTCTATCGAAAGTAGAGAATAGTTTACTCGAACAATCTATTACAGAATTTTCATTTTACTGTCGACATATGGATGATACATTCATCCAGTGCGAAAACAACATGCATAGGTCTAAGACACTAAGCAGATTCAATGCAGTATACCCGGCGATGAAGCTTACAGGTGAGGAAGAAACATAAAGCAAGATAGCCTCCCTTGATGTTATTCTTTCAAGACGAAGAAATGGGTCGATAAAGAGGAGTTTGTTTAAGAAACGTACGTGGACAAGGCAATACACATATTCTCTCAGCTTTGTCCCCCTTCAGTACAACAGAAATTTAGAATACTGGCTATACGTTCGGAAGATAGAGTTGAGGAGGAACTGGAGACTGTATGCAACACACTAACCGGAAATGGCTATCCTGATGAATTCATACTTTTGAGAACAATTTAGAGGTGACATACTTGGCAAGATATTATTTCACAAACTACGCAGACCAATTTAGTGAATTTTTAATGTTGGTTAATTACTTTTTCACACCCCAATGGCAACACCAAGACTGAAAGATGAATTGCCTGAACTGGCCGCCTCCTGTTGCGTTTATCAGTTCAAATGCTCATGTGGAACTAGTTACGTCGGTCGCTGCTCTCGGAATTTAATTTTCCGTGCTCGCGAATACCTCCCAAAGTGGTTAAGTAAAGGTATGGTAAAAACTATTACCATAAGGTAGATGTGAGTGAGTCGTTTACATTCTGTACCACATTCCCATCAACTTGACAACAAGTACACAACGCAGGATCCTTCAAATTCCACAACCAGTACCAATCACAATAAAACAACCCCAGTCATGTATTCAAAAACAAACTAGTTTCGCCGATATAACAAATGTGGTCGGATTCACGACACACAAATCCATCAGCATCATATCCCAATTAATCTAATTCCATACTCCACATACACCATGCTTCCCCACAATCTTGAATAATTTCAATACATTCTATTAACCCATTTTATCCTACAACATGAGTAACATTCTATCAAGCTAGTACTCTCTCTACTCCTCAAATTATCCCTCCCACTTTCTTTCATACAACTCTCATAAACACCTTTCTATTGTTTTATTAAACCATCACCTATCATGGTTTACCGTCGCAGTATAATCGTCTAGATAGTCAATTATAGTGCATTGAATTCCACTAATACTTGATTCTATCATCAACCTTCACACAAGACTTTTCTGAAATAACTTCTTTAACCATGTAATATTGCTAACAAACTGATAAGCGAAATCTCTATATTGTTGACCTGCAATTCCATAATGTATATACACATAACTGTAGAACCTGAAGAAGAAGTTATCGAAAAAAACATACTTTGTTCACTCAAATAGCCTTTTAATTGTAATGAAATTTTTTAATAATATCTCCAATAACTGAATTGACCAAAAGACGATCCATAAGCTAGGTAAAGACCATCATTGAAACAGACAAATGAAAGACAACACAGAAAAATTAGTGAACAAAAAAGTGAAGTTCAAATCCTAACAAAGTTGAAACCTTTGAACTGATTTTCATATTGAGTTATACTGATTAAGTATGTGACAATGAACAAATCCTATTGATTCAGTCCATTCAATTAATCGGATATTTACATGTGGGTTCATGTGCTTTCTCCTGAAACTTCGAAGTAACATGATTGGTTGTGAAAGGCTTCAGCGATTTAAGATTTCTTATGAGCGTCTAGGCAATCTTTTCGCACAAAATAATATACATGATACTAAGCTTGGATTCCTAATTTCTTTTAATTAGTCATATAGATAAATATTTGAAACGCCGATGTACAACTCAGAGGTTGCATAAAGTTGCATACACCATGCATTAACCACTATAAGCGGTCTACTATACTACAGTAGATGGGATATGACCGTAGTATGTGAATCCGCGATCAGGAATGGTACAACTAGATCAGCGAAATGTAATCTTTATAGATACAAAATACAATACAAAAGTTCATAGGACAAATACAAATAAACTTACAAAGCATTTTATTATTCTGTGGTGTTTGCGTACAACTGAATAAATTCTTTGTCAAACCCTCCACTCCAGAACTAACACCTATAGCTAAATTATGAAATAGCTCTGTATTCGAAATTCTTCTACTTAAATCACTTGGTATATGAACTGTAGTAAAAGGCAGTTCAATAGAACGATTCAAACTATCGACCAGTGAATAGCTTGCATTGTTGGATTCCAACAAAATAACCAAATGTGGTTGGAAATGATGTAATATTCTCTGAAAATCTTTATTATCGAATACAGCATCCTAAAAAGAAATATATATTCAATAAACAAATGAATATTTCATAGTGATTGATGAAAAAAGTTAACTAATTTCAGGGATAGGACATAAGTCAAACTAATATATGCATAAAAAGCAGGCAAGCGTACATAAAACACACATAAACACAAGGTACATTCACCAATAAATAAAATAGACAGTGAATGAACACAGTTTCTGAAATGATTTTTTTCAAAAAATGTCCAGTTTGACACCTTGTCCAGTATTACAGCTTATCGGCATCAAAACAACTTCACTGTGGCGATAAAGTAGTATGTAAAAACTTGTGTTACTGCAGAATTTAAAGTAACGCAGAGTTCTCCAGTCTAAACTACCAGCATACGTTTGTGGATTGAAGGGATATACATGAAAGAACAGAGGGAGTATGCTCATCACAATAACTGTAGACAATAATCATGGTTTAAAGAAACCAATAAACTGTAGTTTTTGACTTCGTAATAATCCAGATGTAAAATATCATCCATTTGAAGTATTATCGACATAGTGTTATTGCCTGTATTACACCGTCGTTGATTGGACTGAATTGATCAGTCTCTGTTGCGCATCCTAAATTCCACTGCTAGCCACTGCCCATCATTGCTATATATTATCGACATAATTAAATATCGGTCAAAGTGGCATAGATAAATTTACTCTTCGTTCCTTTCTCAATATCTAACAAGTGCTCATTTTGTGTTCAACTATTTGTCATCAAGTGATTTTTACTTCGTTCAAAAATGTCTTCGCTTCAACAATCTTTATATCCCTACTGTTGAGATGTGTCAGGTAAACAGACAAATCAATGCAAAACCTCGAATGCAAGTGCATTACGTCAAGCTGCAACAATTCACAGCACTACACAAAAGAATAGACGGATAGAATGAGAACGATATCAAATTAGACAAAGTTATTGGGGAAAAAAAATTTGAAGATAAAAGTCAGTGACAATATCCAAGGTTTAGAAGATGTCAGAGTGAATACATCTGCGACCAGTTTTCATCTATGTCACCTAGAGTCTATAATCACTGTTTTCTATCGTCTCAACGACCTCGGTCAAGTGGTCTAAATCTCACAACATGGCTTTATAGATTATAGCACGACTTGGTCTGAACACCCTGAACCCTATTCTAACCCAATTCAACTTCCCTAGCATGATATGTCGAGGTATGCAATGAATCGACATGCACAGTACATCTCCAAGCCATCTCAGTTGACTGAGGTTCACAACCTCATCAATCAACTTACCTAGTATCTTTCGGCTGACCTCAACACTGCTCGCATGGTGATTACATTAAACGCGAGCAATGCTACGAAGACACCTATAATCAAAACCCTGTAACCGTTTCACAGGTATTCAGATACCTCGCCGGTTGGCACTACAGGTGATGCAAGTTGGTATATGCCAAACAGGCCTTTTCTAAACTAGCCGAGATTTCGTCAGCAACCTGTCCGTTCGGGGTGATGCAACTTCCCAAGTAAATGAAGTGGTCGACACATTACACTACTTCGCTTTTTATCATTAAACTGAAAGTTGTTGCAGACCAGTCCTGGAGTATCGTCTTACATTTGACAGGTGAGAAATGCATGCCAAACGTATTCAGATCTTTGCTCAACGCGTTCAAAAGACCCTACGCCTTCCTCTGGCAAGAAAACGTGTCTGCATACTCCAAGTCAGCCACATGATCTTCAGAGAGTAGATAAATTGCTGTGAAAGTTACACGTGCCAAAGTTTATATCCATTATGACGAGAACTGTGGGGAGTTAAAAAGATGTATTGTATACGTTTCTGTCCGTCTATCGATCTGCCTGGTTAACTAGTTCGCTACTTATTAGCCGGTCCTAAGCCCCCACAAAGAGGGTAGGTTGGGCATAGGGCTAGCGAACCTACCCCGTAAAACAAATCTAACCGCTAAACAAACTTCAAAGCACAAACAAAATACAAAAAATAAAACAAAATTACTCCTCTCTGGAATCGGAGAGGCGAAAAGACGCCGATTGGTGAAAGCCTCCAGGGAGTGAATTGGCCGATGTGACTTCTCTCCTCTCGATGAAGCGAAAGTAACGATGGAGACATGGAATATACGCACTATGTTTGAACCTACTAAGGCTGCCCAGATGGCAAGAGAGATAAGAAGGTATTGCATTGAAGTGCTTAGAATTTGCAAAAGCAGATGGAATGGGAGTGGACTCTCCAAACTGTCAACTGGAGAATCAATAATCTACTCCGATACTGTCACTCAGACGACAACCACCAGTACACTGAGTTTTCGAGTGGCTATCATGATGTCCCCAACAGCATCGAAGTGTCTCATGCAGTAGGATCAGTGTCATGACAGCAAGGTTCAACTGAAAAGGAAGGAAGGTCACAATCATTGAATGCTACACCGCGCACCTACAAATAATGCAGAGCAAGAGAAGAAGGAGGAATTCTATAGACAACTGCAATCAACACTGGAGAAGACCCCGACCCAGTTGGTGATATCAAAATTCTAATGGGTGGGGCGACATGAATGCCAAACTGGGAGCGGACAACACAGGAAGAGAACTAACCATGGGCCAAGAAGCACTCGGTGAAATGAGTGAGAATGTAGAAGTTTTGCAGAATTCTGTGCGTTCAACGATTTGGTGATTGGAGGCACTGTGTTCAAGCACAAGGATATACACAAAGTGACATGAACTTCACCAGACACCAGGACACACTAAAAATCAGATCGACTTTATCTCAATGTGAAGAAAGTGGAGACACAGCTTACTTGATACAAGGTCAAGAGGAGGAGCAAATGTAGGTTCACACCATTCACTGTCTAGTGCAAGGAACCTTCCGAATCAAGTTAAAAGCCTTCAAGGAAGATGGTGATAGACCACAGTTCAAGTACAATACCCAGAACAGAAACTGAAGGACGAAACTAGGAAGGAAATCTTCAAGTCAGCCAGCCATCAAGACATAATGGGAGATATCGAGCAGCATCCCTGAAGGAACCTGTGTGGAAGAAGACTGGAATTCTTTGAAAGAGATGTGGAAAGAAACCTGCACAACCGTATTAGGAAGTAAGAAGTAACAGACAAGACAAGACAAGACAAGGAATGGATCTCGATGAATACATGGAAGCTGATAGAGCGAGCATGGAGAGGAAGATGGTGATGATGAAGCAGAAGATAAACCAGTGCAGTGCAAGGATGCACAACGACAAGGAACTGAATACAACCTATAAAACACTGGACAAAGAAGTGAAGAAGAGTGCACGCAAAGGCAAAAGATACTTCAACGACACACTGGCAAGTGAAGCAGAACGCAGTGCAGGCTGCACGTAGGAGAAACAGAGACCTGACAACATCGTATCAAATAACCAGGTTACTCTCTGAGAGGGAAGAGATCAACACAGATGAAACCAATAAAAGATGATGAAGGAAATATAATTACAAAAGAAGAGAAACAAAGGAAACAATGGGTTGACCACTTCAAGAAGCTCTTCAACCGACCACCACCACCACCACCTGCACTTCGTCCAGAAATACCACCTGCAGCCCAGACACAGAACTACAAGTGAACATGAATCCCCCGAGAAAAGTGGAAGTCCTGAATGCAACGCCATAAAGCTACTGAAATGCGGGAAAGCAGCTGGACCAGATGGAATCCCATCAGAAGCACTAAGAAGAGACGCAGAGACAACAGAGGATACGCTCACACCACTATTGTACAAGGTCTGGAAGGAAGGGAAGGTACCTGCTGGTGGATTGGAAGGAGGGTTACCTTGTCAAACTCCTGAAGAAGGGCGACCTCAATTTTTGCAAGAACTGGCGAGAGATCATGCTCCTGTCCACACCAAGCAAAGTATTAAGGCGCATCACCCTGGAGAGACTAAAGGATACATTGGATTCAAAACTATGACCAGAACAGGCTAGCTGGCTGGCTGACTTCATCAAGTACAAATCATGTGTGGACCAAAGTGCAACGATTCGCATCACCACAGAACAGAGTATAGAATGGCAGTCAACTCTCCACCTTACCTCAACTTCATCGACTTCGAAAAGGCCTTTGACAACGTCAACCGACAAGTAATTTGGCAGTTGCTTCAATACTACAAAATACCAAAAACCTTTATCAATCTCATTCAACAACTATATTAAGATGCCACGTGCCAAGTAATTCACAATGGGAAGCTCAGTGATACTTTTGAAGTAAAGACGGGAAGGAGTGAAACAGGGCTACCATCCACTATCACCCATGATATTCTTGATTGTGGTCGACTGGATCATGCAGCAAACAGTGGGGAGTCCTGAGAAGATGGGGATACGCTGGACCACGGAAAATAACCTAGAAGACTTGGATATCACTAACGATGACTTGTGTCTGATGTCACACAAACTTGAAGATCTACAGGCGATAACTAACAAGTTGTCAGAAGAGGCAGGGCAGAGAAGGAAGACGGGACTTCAAGTGAATATAGAGAAGACAGAGGTGATGAAGATACCTAACAAACAACACCAACAACAACAACAACAACGACAAACTCCAATCAACATCAACGGGAGAAACTTAATGGAAGTAGACTCTTCTACCTATCTAGGAAGCACAGTCTCAACTACAGGTGGCGGCACAGACAACGATGTCAAAGCCAGTCAGGATAGGAAAGACAGCAAGACAGGCGTTGATTAACCTGAGACCAGTGTGGAGATCTTCTGCACTCAGCCAGCATGAAGCGTGAACAACATCCGGATTTTCAACACCAACGTGAGTCAAGTCGATGCTTCTGTGTGATGGTTGAGAGACTTGGCGCGTTACGAAAGGGATTTCTAACAAACTACATACATTCGTCAACAACTGCCTGTGCTGGCTAGTTACTGAAGATCAGATGGCCAGAATAATAAGAATAAGCAACAAGGAACTGTGGCTGGCTGGCAACGAACCAACCAAGAACTTATCACTCAACAAATATGCAGAAGGAAGTGGAGATGGATTGGGCATACAATGAGAAGGCTGACTGGGGACATCACGCGTCAGGCCAGGCCAGGTACTCAAGTGGAACCCATATGGGAAGCGACGAGTTAGGTGTCCGAGGGTGACATGGAGGAGATCGTACGAGGAGAAAATGAGAGGCTGTAGGCTGTCATGGAGCCAGGTTGCAAAGATTTCAGAGAACAGAGCGCATTGGAGACGTGCTACTGAAGCCCTATGTTCCATTAGGAACCCAAGGGACAAATAATAATAATAATCGATCTGCAACCTAAACCGCATCCAAGATCATGTTCACGGGGAAGTATTTTTTTATCGACTCACTTGATCAGAAATTAAAGTTCAAGGTAATTTTAATTCAAACAAATAATTTGATAAGTTCGTTTTCTAAATTTACTGATGAACATCTGATATACATTTATCTGTATTACGACTGTAATCAATAATATGCAATGCTAACTCGAAGCGAATCACTAAGAAGCAGGAAACTGTCATTCAGACTGACGCCTTTGAAAAGCTCAGTTACCCCAAAAAAAGCAAACTTTTGTAATATTCGATGAACAAGTAAGCAAAATAAGAAAATAATAATTCATTATCTACAAATGTTTTAAGAACCAATGAAGAGTGCTCTACAAATCAACTAATTCTGAAACCAATCAATACTGAACAATCAGATATCACTATTTGAGATCGAAATAAAACGGTTTTTATCAACAAGAAACCATCTAACTTATTTAGCATTTGCTCAATTTATAAAAGAAAAAGTATTCAATAGTTGTGTTTTAATTTGCGACAGCATAATATAATGCAAGTATTCAGTTAAAAGAGGGATAAAAACAGTCAAGCATTCAACATGCAATAACCACAAACTCAAATATGCACAAGCATAAACACCAATATACATTTGTGAAATAAAAGCGCTAAAACTTGGAAATCGTTTGTTCGCCGTCATGTATACCTATAGAAGAGAGAGATGTGAAATACATGAACAGCTTGTTAAAAAAAACGAATATATAAAGGAGTAAACTAAATCAATCAAGTGTTATGTAAACAACAAGCAGATCGACAGAAACGTTATTAAATGTAATGCATAGCATATTCTATGTGGAACTGGAATGACTGTCACATTTACACTTTCAAGTTTTAAGTAAGGTTATTGGATTGGAATTTAAACTATCCATCTTCAATCTAGTAACTATTAAGTTTTATACAATAAATACTACATATTGCAAACAAACAGATAGACAACACAAACGTAGAACCTTTCACACAAGCGCAACTGGTCAGGTGGCCACATTTCACGGCAAAAAATAAAGAACAACGGAATAGAAAAAGATTGATATCAAAGTAGGCAAACATTTACGGGAGGAGAGATAATTTGAAAACGAACGTCAGGGAAACTGTTCAGACTTTCAAAAATATGGATGGATCTGCGCCATCATGATCAGTTTTTAGCCATGTCATCAAAAGTCATCAGATACTGATTCCTTTCCTCTCAAGGACGTCACAACCATCGACTGCTGCCATGTCTCAGTCTGCTCACCCTCATTTCCCTTCCAACCTAATACAACTTTACCAACCATCGTACGTTGCGGTAGGCGGTGACTCGGCATGCTCAGTTCATGTTCAAGCCATCTCAGTTGATTAAGGTACTCACCAATTGACTTGCTAGTTTTGTTTGTCTAGTATCCTTCCACCTGGGTCCAACATTGCTCACATGTCCATTCCATTGGACGCCAGCACTGTTACAAATAAACCTGTCATCAAAACCATGTAATCGTTTCAGGTTTTCTATTTTTAACCATGTGTCTCATAGCCGCACAACAGGGCAAAACGGACTGCAGCGCAGTATACTCATCCTTAGTTTGAAAGTCGGATATCTAGCCAGTCGGTGCCACAGCTGATGCAAGTTGGCAAACACCAAACGGGCCCTCTGTTCCAAGCTGAGATTGCCTTAGCAACCATCACCCCGTTGAGGCTGATGCAACTTCCTAGGTAAGTGAAGTGGTTAGACCAAACATTGGCGAATGCCATATCTTCGTCTGACGCCTATAAGCCCCCATATAAACATAAGTACAGGGTTGCTGAGCTGTACTGTATTTTACATTGTTTTGCAGAATATAATTGTTATAAACAACTTTGAAGCTACTGTTAAGAACTATGAATAAGGTCACATCCTTTCATAAAACATTACACATTACACACCAATTATCCATATAAACAACACCACTAATAAAAAACTTACAGAACGACTATCACTGAATTCTGAAGTAGAACCACAAGTACTTCGACTCTGGTAGACTATATTCTGTTTCTCCTTCACTCTAGATAACGATTTATGTATACCAATAGGATCTAAATATGGAAATATCAGCAGCTGACTTGTAGCTAAAATACGCCAAATTTCAGGACTTGAAGAGTCTAAACCTATAAGATGGAGAATAAAACAGGACACAACAGGGTTATAAATAAATTCAATCCTTAACATAAAATTGACAGTTTACGGTTAGCTGTTGGATGTAAACATCGAACTCCAGGATAGTAGACATTGATGATCACAGCAGAGAGTTGGTCATAATATAAACCCATTTTAACTCAACATCACCTCTCATTAAGTCTTGATAAAAGCGAATAATGATCAACAATGGGAATTAGTGATGAAATTTTTATATCAGCACAACTATTTTTAAAACTGGTGTAGATAAGGTGTCACTTTAGCATATTTATGAGAACAAAAAAGTATTAAGTTCAAAAGAAAATGAAATCTGTTGTTTGATAGATGGATAACATATTTCAATTGCTAACACTGTTCAAACAAGATAGACGATGACTAAGCATACGTAACACATGTCCTAGACAGCTGAGTTAATAAAGTCACTAGTCGGCATTTCGTTCTTACTTTATGCTGAACTCTAACATGACTTCTAAGTTGTGAAGAAATAATTTCTAATAAACAGTGTCAATTCAAGTGTCTGACGAAATATCAACACCTATTAGCAGTTCCATACATCTGAGTTTCAAATATAATGAAATATGTGGCCCATTCGATACGATAAACGATAGAACTTTTCAACATGATATTCAACTGAAACCAGAAGGCAAATGGAATAAAGCGATTGTACCTGAAATATGAGTCGTTTGCATACCTTTTAAAAGGCCTTGACTAGGGGAAATCAAATAGCATAGTAAAATTGAAAAATGAACCAATCAGCGTTTAGTATCTTAAACGGCGGTAAAAACAAGTAACATGGAGTGAAGCAAAAAAGGCGCGAAGGTAGGGTTTGAATTTTATAGTGATAATATATAATATTAATAATGATCACTTTATTCGAAACAAATTTTAGTACAATTCGGAATTTTCTGTAAGTACATATAAATATTAAAAGTTAGTTTTTCATAGATCAGACATCCTTAACACCGTCTAACCACAAACAAGTATACTAACTTGAAGTGCCCACAAATAATCAATTTTAGCTTACAAGTTTCGCATACTATTAATTAACAATCACCACAAGGGATACAAATGAAAACAAGTATTCACGAAAAATAACTAGTTATCAGGAGTAGAAACCGGATATAAATACAGGGACCTAGCAGACGAGTAAGTAACGCTGGATCTTTTAAGTTAGGTTCACATTCCTTACGAGATAATGTTCAGACTGGCATTCAGTATATGCATGGTGCATACTTAAACATATTTGAGCACCTCTTACATCCCATTATTATCACTTTTGAGTATGTTGATATGCGTTTAGAAAACTCTTATCTATCTAAGACCATTGACATTAATAGCGTGGTCCAGTGATCAAACCCGCTATCTTAAGTTAACTGATTCGTACCTTGCGATCCACTAATTTGAGTTGCTTAGTGACAGAATATCCATTGTCATTTCAAAATGAATTAGTAGTATGGGCTTTATGCACTCTGTTATCAATATTATTTTTTATGGGGATGAGACAAGAGCAAAGTTCCGAATAAACATGACTTTTTATAATTGAGCAGAAATACAACCAACTCCGTATTAAGCAAATATATTCTGACCATAAAAGCAATAATGGCCATCATCTTTGTGTTAGTTGTTCAAAACTACAGTGTTAGGAAGTAACTAACAATGAAAATCACCTGAAGTACAGAGCTAGTAAGCCTAAACGAGAAGCTGGAGCTGTTCACTGATCCAGGGACTAATCATCATCACCAAGATCAACATAGGGCCAGGCATTACTGCGTAACGATTCGAGTTGCCACAGTTCATATCAGCATATCAAGTAAAAATGCAGTGAAGTGGAAGATGAAGAAAGAAAAAAACATAGGTCAAAAAAAGTAAGAAGTAGTAAAAGAGAAGGAGGAATGAAAAAATGATGAGATTAAGTAAAGCAGTTAAGATGAGAATAGTGTATGCATACATCTGCGCCACTGACATCAGTTTTGAGCCACATCACCTAAAGTTTCCAACCACTGGTTTCTCTTGTCCCTTGGACATACATGGCTCAAACCAACAGTCACAGACTTCATGTAGTGATGCTGTGTTTCAGTTTGGCCGCCCTGATCCTTTTTCCAGCCTGAAACTACTTCGAACAACATTGTCCGAAGAGGCAGATGGTGGCTAGGCATACGTAACACATGTCCTAGCTATCCCAGTTGATGAAGGTTCACAATCTCATCAACTGTCTTACCTCTCCTACCTAAAATTCTCCGTCTGACTTCTGCGTTACTCAAGTGATGACACCATGAAATAGGGCCTACGCTACGAAGGTGACAGTGGTCAAACACCAGAACCCTTCTCATGTCCTCTGTTTTTCATGGCCATGTTTCACAGCCATACAGTAGAACAGAATGGATTACAAACATAGTAATAATAATAATAAACAGTTGGACTTCGCGGCGGAGCCAGTGATGGTGTAAGTTGGCAAAAGCCAGTTGAGCCTTTTGTACTGGTGAAGAGATTTTGTCGGTCACTGAGTCACCAAAGCTGATCACATTTCTCAGGTAAGTAAAGTGTTCAACGAGCTCAACTAACTAGACTTGTGATTAATGGGTCATGGGTTCGAATCTCGATACAACTACCTACATCTGGGGTAGCTAAGTAATAAGCTTAGCCCTCACACAATAGGTGTGGCTCCAGAACTCTATGCGAAGGGAATGATGATCATCTGAACAACTAACCAAACTTGATTAATTGATAAGATGGACGTCATATTTCATGATCCATTTGTCCTTCTTATCAGATGTATGTTCCTGTGCCAGTCACGACATAATCACCTATAATGAAAATTTTCTGCATGCACTACTCAAGATCAAATAAAGAAACTATGAAAATAATGAATGTTCAGGTAGTATTGAAGCCTCCACATAGAAGCCTGTCCGCCAACAGAGGTCGAGCAATTCGACCCAATAAAAGCAACGGGAAATCACAAGTGTCAATGAACAACAACGGATACCCGTTGTACAAGAGGTGACTCTCGTGCCCCAGTGGCTTTGTAGATAATGCTTTGGTGTTTGAAGCGATGGGTACCGAGTTTGAGTCTCAGTCGTAACAACATCACTCACTAGATGTAGGTACATACAGCTGACGAGTCCCAAATAGGAAGAATCGTGCATTTTGGATTTCACTGCCAGTCATCAAGTGGACTACAAAAATATAGAAAGTGAAAACGGTTATTTTACGTAACGATATCAATGTATTTATTATTCGCTTCAAATAAACAGGTATTACCATGTAGAGACTTGTATTTCTCTTAGCTTGATCAAAACTTTGGTTACACATATTTGGGTTTCATTAATACTACTTAGTACTGAAGATGAACAACAGTAATAGGTGGATGAAAGTTTACCTGTACATAAGTGACGCAGTAGGCGAATGGTTATTTCCGTTGAAATTAATTCATCATTATTCAAACCAGCTAAAATTACAATTCGTATTTTATCAAATTGAGGTTGTAAGAGTATAGTATCATGTTCATTGAAATTATTGTTTACAGGCATAGTATGAGATACTTTTGAATGTAGATAACGAGGAACTGATAAACTGATTCCATATACTATTGACATTTTCTCATAATTTTTATTTCTGTCAATTTGTGAAGGAGTCAGATTGATTTCATGAAGTGTAAAATATTTTTGAATTAAATAGGATGGATTTTGAATAGATTTTTAATTGCTTCTGTATAGGTTGATTCATTTATGAATAATGGTAAACGATTCTCGGTGATATTGTAATCTAACTGATAAGACCATTTCATAGTTGACGGGTTATTAGGCCATAAGGTGAAATTTAACTGTTCACTACTTGTAATCGGTACATAAGGTAGAAGAGATGCATTTACTTCATATTTAAGTGAATCAAGATACCTGTAAGAAAACAAAAGGTGAAAACAAAGTACATAGTGTAAAATTTGGGCATTGCAGTAGGCTGTAGCCCCAGATTACACCTATTTATTTCATATATAGCACACAGTGATACAGTATCAACGTGTATGATAACGTTTCAGGCATAAATTATTGCTCATAATCATATGACTATCGTTGAACGTGCTTAACACATGGTTCACCACCTATCACAGTCGGTACATTTCGAAAAGCTTATCGACTGATTTAATTACACTCCATACGATTCTATACATGCCCTCAATACTTATAAGTTGACGGTGCATCAACACCAAACAGTGTTTGAAAAGTGTTCATAATCGAATAATATGGAATAATGGCATTTCTTTCCCACTTTTTTGACGAAGCCATCTCTCGACTGTCTATGTGACCAATTTTCAGCCAGTGAGTCATGCTTTCGAACTCATTTTAACCAAACGATGTTTGGGCGGTAAAATTATATTACTAGCTCTCATATAGTGAGCGTAGCTCACGGCTCAAAACCAATAGTAAGAGACTTCATCGACTGGTGCCATGTCTCAGTCTGCTCACCCTCATTTCCCTTCCAACCTAATACAACTTTACCAACCATCGTACGTTGCGGTAGGCGGTGACTCGGCATGCTCAGTTCATGTTCAAGCCATCTCAGTTGATTAAGGTCCTCACCAATCGACTTGCCTGTCTTGTTTGTCTAGTACCCTTCCACCTGGGTTCAACATTGCTCACATGTCGATTCCATTAGACGCCCGCAATGCTACAAAGACACGTGTGATCGAAACAGGTAGTCGCGATCTATTTACTAAAATATAATGCTTTCTCTGTAAGAAGTAAACACCCTGAGGAAAATGAATAGTTTCACACTACAAAATGTTCTCAGAGATTAGTGCCATAACTGACCATTCCATATCATTTTCATTACAAGTTGACAATAATTAACTAAATGATGAAGGCCAAAGAAGTAGATCCTAGAATAAATGAGTATTCCTAAGCGGTAATGACAAACTGAAAAGTATGTCCCGCTATCGTGGCTCAGTGGTCTAGTGGATTACGTCCCGGTGTTTGGAGTGACCAGTCTCGAGTTCGAGTACCAGTGAGGACATCATTCACTGGAAGGTAGGCATATCCAGCTAACAGAATGCGCGTCTTGAATTCCACTGCTAGCCACTATTCATCGTACACTTAGCACATTAGTTATAGAATAGTAAGCACTGTAACACTGGTCTGCGGAATCAACAATTAAATTGTGACAACACTTGGACTCCACTTAATCAGTACTAATCCTGAATGTCATCACAACGCAACGCACTTAGCCACCTTGCGCCCTCAAGTGCAACAGCCAATGAGCCACACCTACTTTACGAGGGTTAGTGATACCACCTGGCTGCCCAGACCTCGTAAACTGGAGCAGGGCTCGAACCTGTGACCCAATGGTTGATAGTCACCACCCTAAACAACTTAGCCACAGCTCCCCGCCCCCCCCCCGCCGAAAAAAAAGTAAATAAACTGAATGAAATCAAAAGTTAGCGAAAACATGGTAACTAGGAGCAACCCTATTGGATTTAAAGCCTGGCCGTAACATCCAAATGATTTTCTTCCAAGTCACTTAGTTTCAAGCCTACATCACCAACTTCATCGTTAGAAATCGGTCAACATAATGGAGTAGACAATTTACTGTTGAGTAATCTGCATCATCTAATTTTGCACAGAGTCAATCAAAATCCGAATGGCTAAGTGCTAATATCTTTGATAGTAATGTCATTTGAAATAATAACAGTTTTCCTAAGGTTATAGATAAGCTTTGCTAATGTGCTGTAATAAGTCAGAGATGCATTTTCAAGACTTCCTATCGATAATTCCCAATTCTTCAAAGCAACCGAATTTCTAGAAAAAAGGTGTTACGCTTCATTTGTATGTTCTTAGCATCATCTAGGATAATGAGAGTCTGATAGCGGCCAACATTTTGAACTTAACTAGTAACAGATTGATATCCACCTGATGATTATCACAAATGCTAAGTTGGATGAAACGTTCAAGTCCACTCCTCCTTTAGTATTGCCATTTGATTAATATGATCAGGTATTACAAGACAAATGTGGATAATAATTATCAAATGTAATTTGGTTGATGTAAAATAAAGCAACTCACCCAATTTTTGAAGCCCATACGCGAAATACACCAGTAGGTGGGAGTAGACGCCAATAATCTCCATAAAGTGGTGTTGAATTGACCAGATGATTCAATCCTTCTACGTGAATCGAAGCTTCTCCGATACGCAGATTTGTGGAACCATCCAAAACAAAACCGCGTAAAGCTCGATGAACCTAAATGCAGTAGAAGTTAATGTGTTGACAAGGGTTAGCTAGCAGTCTTGATCATCAGTTTGTTGCCTTCTTAGATCATACTGTAGTGAGCGTTGCTGATAAGAATGGATATAAGTAGTATATGTTGAGAGGGCGACAGAAATCATAGGGAATTACCAGCAATGGGTAAGGATTCTGCCAAGAGAAACCCAAGAGACAACACAAGCGTATGAAGGGCAAATCAAGAGAGAAGCAGAAGAGGAAATGAAGCACATTTTGCAAATGACTGTCTTAGTGCAAGGTGTGCCATATTTGATGACTACTGTACCACATGTTAATAATAAACATTCCTTCCTTCGTCTCTGTCTTCTCGCTTGCTCCAATTGATGTCACTGCTTCTGACCGTTATGAAGATTCCGTGGTCTGCAATGTTCGAGGATGGAGACATCGAGGTCTTCTACAGGGACTTCAAGTTGTTCACGGAGGTGGTGGGTGTCTGGGATCCAGGAGCGAAGGTTGAGGTCCTTGGTACGTTGCTGAGGCGTAAAGCGAAAGCGGCAAATGACGGCGTGGAACGTGGGGTGGCAAGGAGAGCTATCCCATCTATATCTTCAAAGTTCAAGTAAATCTCGACACTGGTATCTCTTCGACGGCAATGTCAATCATGAACTCGTTTGTGAACGACATTTTCGAGCGTATTGCTGCTGAGGCAAGCCAACTCTCTCATTACAACAATATCCGATTGAGAAAATGAATTACCTGAGATCGCATACGGTGTACATGCAGTAGAACGGGACCAACTAAGATCTATTCGCCTTCAGAAGTGGAGCCCTACACTTAAAGAAGTGATGAAAGCGAAAATTGAAAGAAATGAGAAGACAGAGACGAAGGAAGGAATGTTTATTATTAACATGTGGTACAGTAGTCATCAAATATGGCACACCTTGCACTAAGACAGTCATTTGCAAAATGTGCTTCATTTCCTCTTCTGCTTCTCTCTTGATTTGCCCTTCATACGCTTGTGTTGTCTCTTGGGTTTCTCTTGGCAGAATCCTTACCCATTGCTGGTAATTCCCTATGATTTCTGTCGCCACTCATATCCATTCTTATCAGTAACGCCTACAACAATACTTTCTCAGAAACCAATTTTCTTCTCGAAAAACACACAACACTGTTGGCTTAAATGTTAGTCACAGTTACTACCCCAAATCTATGATCAAATAATTAGCTGACTTCATTTTCATTCACACAATGTTACTCCAACAACTACTGAATAACGTTAATAATGGATAGTGGTTAGCGGTGAAGGTCCAGGACATCGTTGATTGGATCAGTCAATCCAATCAAACCTGAGAACATAAAGGTATATTTGACAACAAATTCTCACCACCTTATACACCTTAAAGTTTCCAGATACAAGAACATTTACTGGTTCGGTTTGAACAAAAAGAAGTCAAAGTATGAAAAGTGCTATCTTAGCATACCTAGTAAACACAGGGCATCACACAGATGCTAAACGAGCTTTTAATGTGAAACATGGTGTGCCAAAAACAATACCACGAGCAGTTTGGCAACACCTGCTTGAAAATAGCTAAGGTGGTCGGAATAAGATAGATCGAATCTGAACGGTGCATTTAAAAAGAATATGTTAAAGCATTAATCCTCCTCTAAACTTCGATAAATTAAAGGTTGCTCTCGTCTTCCTTATTTATTGGCCTTTTCTTTTATCACCATATTCTTCATCTGTAGATGTATCATCTTAATTATTGACAAATTTACGGAGAAAATTCGGTTTCCTTACATTCTGTAATTCACATCTCACCTTGAAAATGTATTCACCTCAAATTTGGCTTGTTTTACGCTGTACAATTCGATGAGAACTTACGCAGAAGAAATATTCTTTGTTCAGATTGCGTTTAATTAATGTTGTAGGAATCTTTAAATATTTGACAATGATCAGTCACATTCAATATTCAACTTAGTAGGTTGAAAACTTTGTTCAAAATCATTCAGCAATGCAAATCATCTGTGTCTTGTCTTCCCCTAACATTCAGATGAGGATAATATTCTTGTCCTAGTTCATTAACCATTACTGGTGTGAAGTATGGTAAATAATATACAAAAGCAAAAGAAGCAATCTGGATGCCATCACTTTCTTACATCATAATATTGCATATAAACTTGATAGGAATGCCGTGTCAGGTGTGCCTTCTTAGACTATACTTCAACGCTTGATTCTGTCCCAAGACATCTTTTGCTGGACAAACAGGCCGGGTTACATGCTAGTCCTAGACTATTAGCTGGATGTACTTCTCTGAGAGGAAACAATATGTTGTTTATAAAGGGGACCACTCCACCTCACTGCTTACTGAGGCTGATGTTCCCCACGTTGCCGTCCTTTCCCCCATCCTTTCTCTTTTTTTATGTATGGCTTATCATCTTCAGCTAGTATCAATTTTATCGAATACGCTGGTGACCTGACAGTTTCCACACCAGTCTCCTCTTGAACAGATTATTCCCAGCCCAATGATTTCCTATCTACTGTTGAGGTATGGTACTCCATGAATGGTCTTGTACTTAACTCATCAAAATATCGTACTAAAAACGTTAGTTTCAGATGTGAACATAACCCGTGAAAACTGCTTATGTTTCACGAATCCTGTTTTATTGATGATTGGGCACTAGACAATGTTACAAGTGTCATTTATCTCGGTGTGTATTTTTCCTTGAACTTTCATGGTTCTCCGACATCTTACTAACTTGCAAAAGAATTTTCCGCCAAACTTTCAATACTAGGAAGCTGAAGTATCTGGTATAACTCAGCCTCTTTCCTTGTATTTTATAAACACCTGCATCTTGCCTATTGTCTTCAACTGTTCTGCTTTATTCTATCGTGGTTTGCTGAAAAAAGACTAAGCTGTGTCGCGTAGAACTTTGAAGATTGTTAGCAGAACTGGTGGTGTACCGCTAAACCTTCTATTTGAAACTGTTATGAACAAACATCTTAACTCATGTAAACATCTGGCCAGGAGTTATTTCATCAGATGACCAGTTAAGAAAATTAACTTTTTATTGAATTCTTTACCCCAATCTTACTCAAATCAATCAATTGATTATATTTTTAATTGTACTTATAATGGTATTCAGGTGGATAGCAGTGGTATAATTTGACGTTGTGTCTCTATGGTGTAAGTATTTTACTTCCAACTAAATAGATGGTTCTAGATTCAAACTGTACTGCATCTACTTCGTTCTGGACTACTCAATAGTACTGTAGTACCCTCATCAATTACGTGTGACTTATAGGCTGATATGCATATATGCACCGGGTAATTAAGTTACACTTTTTTTTCTTTTTAAGTGATAATTGGTTTATATAAGCACAGAAGTGTACATATCCATGTATCTATGTACCTTCATAATGCATGCGATAAATATAAGATAATCATTTCATTGACATTTGATAATGAATGCAGAAAAATAAGATGAAGTAAAAACAACTAACCTCAGATAAAAGTGTAACAAGTGAATATTTATTATCGTCCCAATAGGTGGATATTTCTGATGCCCATGGATATTTAGTACAACCCAGTTCTAATGTGATTTCCATACATCCAGTAACTAGATAATTCCAATCTTGCATACCACCTTGAAGTGGATACCAATTATTACCATTGGTTATTCCATTCGGAAAAATTATGGATCACATTTAGGTCTACCCAGATACATACTTTTATGCGCCTAAAATAGGCATACAAGATAACACAAAACATAAACAATCATTGCTTTAATGGTTCTTTTAAACCTTGGGTTGCCAAAACTTTTGCGTTGGCTGAATAAACCACAACCACCACCACCACCAAAATCACACACGCCTTTCTATTTACCCTCCTCCACCCGGTCTGCAATAGCGAAAATCTGCCCAGCAACTTTGTGCACCTTCGTGTAGTAGGTACATCGATTGTATGAGGGCTGATGTCACTACCTGGCTGCTCAAAACTTGATTATTGGGGCTGGGTTTGAACCCACTACTCAACAGGTGGAAATCTATCAATGAACCACAGCTTCTGCAACAACGTACCACCCCCAAATTAGACGATAACATTACAACAGCTTGTTGTTGTATATGACTATTTATTATATTATTATCATTAATGCTAGTTAGCTGCTATAATCATTACATTTGGAAATAATATACAAGAAGTTAAGTTGTTAAAATAATGAAATAAAAAATTTGGCCAGCAGCCAGGTCTTGTAGATCAGTTGGTAGAGGCACCTGACCACAAACATGGTGGTCGCTGGTTCGAATCCTACTACGGTCCGGATTTTCATTTTACCTTCAATCATCACCCAGTATAAACACTTTCGTGTATTGAAAAGTAAACTGGATAATAAGGGTCAACTGTATTAACAGGTTTCTCAGACAAAAATGGATTCAATGTGTAACAATTTCAAAGAGTGACTAGACAAATAAAAGCTGGTACTAGTAACCCACGCTCAAAGATGTTACATTTAACATCATCGCACAAACCAGAAGGGAACAAAAAGGGGGACAAAGAAATAAAAAATAAAGGTTGTAAAAAGCTTGAAGAACAAAAAAGATGACGTAAAGTGAATGATGTGATGTGATATTATTACGGTTTTTGTTAACAGTAAAACTGTATGTCATCCGAATTACAACCGACTAGTGTGTAAGCAGATACTACAAAACGACACCAGTGTGTGTTAGTTCTTAATGTACAACCTAGTCGAACAGCACACAGGTAACTACCTCTTCAGTGAGATCCATTAGAGAAGTACGCTTTCTGTCCTAACACTAAATGTTGTACTTACATCTGAAAGGACAACCAACTATCGAATCCCTTGTTATTCGGAGGGTGTTCTGTGCCCATTACAATGCACGATGTAAGTCGTGTGAATAAACATACACGAGTTTTGTGTGTGTTTGTTTGTTTCTCAGAGACATGACATATATCAATGGCACGAAAAATCAAAGCTTTGATTTTGATTCGACATAAAGCCGTTACATTCAAAGCTCCAACCTGGGGTTGGCAAAGCAGTTTTAGGGGATCAGGAATAATGTTCGCTTGGCAAAGGATCATTAAGAATGGTTATAGCGTAAAAGGTTGATGAAACTACCTAGGAAATAACATTAGTAAGGAAAAATAATTTCGACAAATAAATGGACAAAGAAGAAGAGGGTGCAGTATATCAAATACTTGCATACTCTTAGAACTCGAGTGTTTGATACTTTCAAGTCGCTGATAGTGTGGAAAATTACGTTTTTAGAAGGTATCTATAAAAAAGAAAGTAGATTTGTTTTACATGATCAAATAAACTAAACGACATATGCTTCGGTTTGGCCCAAACGGTCATTTTAGGAGGGATTGTAGAGTTCCAACTGCACTTAGAAAGTCATAGCTTTAATGACGAAAAGGCATGCAAACTTTACAGACCCTTCCTAGTACAAAAGACTTTACTGCTGCCTGTGTCCACTAAAGAATAAACACATACATGGCCGTACTAAGGCGTAAACGGAGTGCAAGCAGGCACTTCAAAAATGGCATTAATCCTCCACCGATGGTTTACAGCGATATAATCTACTTGTGTCCACCGTTGGTATGATGTCAGTAGAAACCAAGTGAGACAACATCTCTCCTTATGCTTGAAGTTGGTGCTGGCTAGAAAAAAGTGGTTTTCAGAAAAAAAATTGCGAGACGAGCACTGCTGTTAACTAATTAGCATAAAATAATGTACATGCCTTTACGATTGACTCATCTTCCCTATTTGAACATCGAAGTCTCTCCCTCTGACTATGCCAAAAGACTGAATCAGCGAAATTGACAACTTCTAGCAAAACCTATCCCTTACATAGTCCAAAATGTATTCAGTAAGGATAGCGACAGCAAATACGTGATGATGGTTGTTCAAATGTTTCCCAATTTTTCCAGATCCACTCAACCAGAAAACGTAGACGACCATTAATTGGTATTCAGACAGGAAGTGCGCTTTACGCTCTGCAACTTTATGGTATCACTACACCAATAAATCCTCTAACAGAAACCACTGAAACTCAGGATTCTAGTTAAGTGAATTTAGTAAACACAACACTGGTCAGGGCAGATGAAGTGAATAACTACACTTCGATGCTGTACACGTTTCTTACAACTGCAGGATACATTTGCAACCCAAAATTCAACAGCTATGGCAAGTGTCTTGGAATCGGTATAGGATTCAGACGTTGAAAGCTCCGATGTAAAATCAAAATGATTAGAAATGGTTTCGCTGGTTCGGATTGTGAACAACAGTCGCAGAGTAAGAAGATTACGATACTGAAAAGGACCTACTGTTGGTGAAAAGAGCAGGTAGTAAAGGCAAGGAAGGATACAAAGATAAGGAAGGTAAGTTAATTTTAAATGGCTTTCAAATACCACCGAAAGCGTACACGCGACTTATATTAATTGGCTGCCTACACCCTAGATGCTGACATCTTGATGAAGTACATCTAAATAGAAGTCGATCAGTAAATAAAGTCTTCTCGACCCATCCAAGAGATATCTTGAAATCAGTCATACACAGCCATCACAAAAATCTTGGGTATAGGTTGATAGGTACAGTAAGAGTTTACATCCGTATTCAGTTGACAGTGAATATGATGAACAACTTATAGAATAATAATAATAATACTATTACAAAGTCAAACAGGACTAGTCAAGTTCAATAGCACAACTCACACGACTATACACCATTGCTAAGTGTCTGAATGTTGCATCATCTGGTGAAGCAGAGTAATACGTTGTCATATTTTCACTTCCATCGAATGGATATGATGCAACCAGTGAACCAGCATGTAAATTACCTGATAACACGAATGAATGCGATTTAGACCATTTCATTATTAATTCAGTTTCTGGTTCCTATAATTAAAGAAAATATTATATTGCCACATTGAGCCATACCTGCACCATATTTTCATAAGTTTTTCCAAATTGATCTGGGAAATTACGATTTAAATCAACATTGTGAAGATTATTGCGACCAATAAGACTGCTTTCATCACCTGAAATGTATATTCGAAATAGAAATAAACCAAGGTTTATTTCATTCTAAATAACAACAATCTCACAATGAATAATTCAATTAATTAGTAAAATATTGTAGAAAAACACTAAATAAACCACAAATAGTGCCAAGTATTTTATTTCAAGTTACACTTGTTGTATGACAGCTAAATAACCTACCATGAAAAGTGCAGCCATCAAATTCAAGACCAACTTTATCTAACGGACTGAAGGATTTTCAGACATCATGAAGACCTACAAAGCTACCGGTTTGTGCTCTTTTTTTCGTTCATTACTAGTATTTTAAATCAAACTTAGTAAAGGTAACTGAAACCACTGGTACAACTATAGGCACGAGGTTCACAACAAAAAGAATCGAAACCTCGTCGATGTTAAATATGGCAAAAACTAGCAATTACTAAATGGGTTCTTTTTTCATACCAATACCAGTGTCCGAATAATGCAACACCTCATACAGTATTGTCGCACATAGTCTTTCGCACGTGACTTCAGTAACGTTACCTGGGTTCAAATCGTGCTCAGTCTACCTGCTATCATAGACCCTGAGTGCAGCTTATTGCCTGGTACATAAACACCTGTACCAGCATCAATCCTATTTTTCGATTCCAAATTTATGTAGATGTGGCAGCTACGAAAATTAACACTTCACCCTTAATTTCTAGTCTAGAGGCACAGCGATAATGAGACATCACTCTGCACTTAGTATATGTGAACAGAATACAGAACACCCAAATTTCTGCTGAGTGCTTTCTAATAGACCTTGCAGCTGATCACCTCTAACCAAACAATGTCACCCAAGAGTGCAGTCAGAGGATCTTCTGGTTAAATGATCCCTGAGACGTTAGTGGCAAGCGCAGTTTTCCTTGTTAGTTACGCTTTATGGATCTTACATGTTTACCAGAAAAACCAATCTATGACTGGATCTATGCTGCTATTCATGTGATCACAAAAAAATGAAGAGGCAATATTTCACTTATTCTTAACATTTACTCAAAATTCTTCAGCTACAGTTCGACAATTCACCTTCTGTTGTGGCAGTTATAACACCACGCCCAATTTGAGGGTCGGGTGCTAATTTAACACCATCCATGATAAGCCTATGTGAGACACACTGAATCAAAAAAAAACATCGCATCAACAAAGGCAATAAAACAGTGACCATTTCAGATAAGACATCCCTTTCGGTAGTCCTATTTTTGAAGCTGTACAATTTTATTCAGTAAAACTATTTATTTTTTAGATGCTGTCAATAATTTGTTTCATGATTTGAGGACATAGTAACAAAATGACAAGTTGTCATAAGTTGTTGAGGCAAGTGAATATCGGCTACAGTTCTAAAGAAGTTCGATAAACATGATCAAATTTTGACAGTGAGTTGCGTAACATGAAAAAAACACTCATAGAGAGAACTGTTATCAAAAGAGAATGGGAAATAGTAAGGGTTTGCATTACGTAAGAAGTAAACAGAAAAGGAGAAAGAAAAATAGGAGTCGTTTGAAACTTTAAACAGTAGGACCTTGAAACTAAAAGAGGTTGAATAAGTTTCTTCTGTATGCAAGGCTGTGTATTCTCTAAGCGAATAGCTACAGCTTGAGCGATGCGCAAGAGGCGAACACACTACCTCCGGTAGGTTTCTTTTCAACTTTGATACAGCAGGTTGTCGAAATTGTGTGGCCAGTGTGGATAAGACATTTAATTACCACACTCCTCATCGAACCGCTACTATCCCTTCTCAGCCATACAGGATAGTGTTTTTGCATTTTTTTTTGGATGACTCGCGGTCACCTACCGATATACCAGAGCAGGTGAACTAGTATATACACATGAAGGTGGTCAAAAGCGAAAATTCATCTTTCACGTTGTTAAAAAATAATGGCTGGTTGGTCAGTACTACTTTCAGCGGCGCTGCAAAGAAAATTCTTCGTTGAAAGTTTGAAATCCTTCCGTTTAGAATTTCAGATGGGCTGCCTGTGAATCCAATGTTCACAAGCAGCATCTTTAACGTAGAAGTGGAGTAACAACTGACATCTGAATTGGATACTTTTATTTATACAACGAGGTACAGAACCATTTCCAATTAGAATCCTCCTTGGATGATTTGTTTCTTCTAAGACATCTGTGTTACAAATACGTCTGGTGCGCGCCACAAAATACATAATTAAGTTTCTTATGACTGATAAAACCTAACTGTATAAAGTTGCTAACTGTAAACTGATCTTTTCAATGTCCCATCAGTCTTAATTCTTAGTTTCAGGTCATAAAATATAATTTTTCAGATCCAACTTTCACTTGAAGGACAAATTTTACCGCCGAGTAGCAGCTATTAAATACATACAGAAAATAACTAAGATCATATTTGTTACCACATATAAGCATCAGTGATATGCTTTATATACAGTTGTTGTTCACTTTAGCTGTCAATTTTCCAGACTTGACATCAAACAGTATGCTAGTAATCGCTCCATGCGGTATCCTATAGCAATCCCCACGTTCTCATCTTTACGTGGCATCGCCTAACATGAACTGTACAATGGTGACGCATCTTACGTATGCTATATTTCTTATCTCACTGATTACTAGACATTGAAACCGAAATCGAAGTAGCCACCATTCTATAAGCATTTATTTCAAAAGTTTAATGAACAATATGGCGATGCACAAGCTCCAACAGTTGCGCCACCATGTCATCAAATAAGAAAACATAAATTCATCATCTATTCCCATCAGAACCCTGAAGTCTATTTGTTACTGGTTTCAGATCACGAATATTTAACTTCTTCATTGAACTCTACATAAGATGTATCTGTCTTACCACCTTGTTTAAAAAAGTTTCCGTTTTGTGAAAAATAAAGATTTTCACAACAGTGGTTATGTGACAAATGACAGAAGAGAAACAACTCACCTGCATTTAAAGAAGCATTACTAACACTTGGTTGCAATCACACCATAATACCCAAGTAGAAACTCATCTACCAACATAATGCACGATATCCCAGAATGTAATATACCTCATCAGTATGTGGAAAGAGATTTAGTAAATATAGTGGGGGGCTAAAAGCTTAAGATTATTGGTAACATATTCCTACAGCCCGATACCGACAGTTGCTCGAAGAACTAGCAGCATGTGAAAATCTGTGGCATAGTGACTAGTCTACAAGCAGTAACAACCATAGGGCATAGTAACTTCAGACTGCTGACCATGCTGAGTGTGACAGCAGAGATATGCCTTTCGTGAAAAACCAGCATTTCATATTGACTCTGCCTTCCCCTATCAGTAGAAGTTAGAAAAGGTCGGCTCCAAAAATGATTCATTTCTTCCATGCAGTCATCTGAGACGAGAGGTATTACTTTTTTAGTCCAGACGTAACACACACAAATGTATACCTCAAAATTCTACATTCTCCGGCAGTATCATCAAAAACAAGTTTATGAAGGTCTCTCAATCCAGCTGAAGCTCATAATTTATCAGAGTGGAAGGAGAAATTGATTACTGAAGCTTTTTATCGAACCAACATCAAAAATATCCAATAAGAATCGAATGCACTCAGCAACCTTGTGCACATTTGTGCAGTAGGCAATGAGCGACACCTAGTGCTACTAGCTGGCTGCCAAAACCTCGGTAGGTGGGGCGGGGCTGAAACCCGTGACCCATTGGTTAAAAGCTATCTCCCTAAATTAACGACCAATAGCTCCACTGCAATAAGGGTAACTCAATAAATATTCCAGATATCCGAAAAATTCTACTACCCATACTAAATATGGAGTAAAACACGAACTACAAAAACAATGTGAGGAAATTATTCAGTAATGTTAGGTATGACTATGGACGAAATAATAACCACTTGCTATGTGAAATATCCAGAAACGAATTACGTGGAATTGTACACTGCAACAATACTTAAGTTTCACTCTTACATCAACGCACATAAATTATCGTTAAAAATCAGTTGAGTTTACTTCAATGCTGTTGTAAAGCCATTGTGACTACTCACTCTGATAACTCATTAACTTTTTGATAAACCTTCATATCTGACAAAGTCTTGTTTCCATAATTTGGCAAATGTTTAGAAGAGAACAGCTTAACAATACGCCTGATATAACCATCGTAATTCATGGCTTGCTTCTACTGTAATTATTCTAATTTTATTCAAACTTAATTTGATTATACAGAAAAAGGAAGCCGGACAAGATACAGCCTGAAGTAAAATGGACACCGATGAAAGCTATCGAATTTACAATCAGCAAACGCAGGCAGAAGGCCACAAGAATAAGGTAAAGCATTATCATATCCGTAGCACTATGCTAAGCAGTCACCCCCATATCGTTTAGTAGATCAACCCAAGGCAGTTCAGCCTAATTCAGTGCATTATTGAAGTGCTGTTGTTAGGCATTGCTTGGAACGATGAATTTAACGGTTTCAGGTTAAACTAATTAGCACTGAAGACTAGACGGCTTGCAATACGCAGCCTCAGTAAAATCAAATAATTACTGGTCCACAGGAAGAGTAAGATAAAAATAACAATCAGATCCCCCCACACTAGTGTTTGTATCTGTCTATTATGACACTTTAAGGATGAGATATCTTGATAGGAATCATAGATGCACCAACAGGAACCACTCAGACATATGTATAATTCATATTTTACTTGACGCCATTACATTTGATAATGTCCTGTGACTTTTCAATGAGCCCAAGTCACTTCACTTACTGATAGTTCATACCAAATGACTTATCCTGCATAAATTTAGCATATGAAAGTTGAGAAAAATAAAAGCAGTCGATCTGAGAAAAGGTAAAAAGGCTGCACAAATCAAAAACGCAATCAGTCTTTATGGATCCTGAGTCTTTTGATTTCAAACAGGTAATGAACGCACCTACCCCATCACTCACTGCCTTTCTATACGTCCAGATGGGATAGAAAATGAAGATATTTTCACTTCAACAATGTACTGACCGAATAATTCAGTGTGGACTCTATTCATTTCACTTTGAACGTAGCTGGAGACTATCAAATAATGTTAACATGGAACCCAGTATAAAAGTTTAAAGGTTCTTATTGCCTTAATGCAACATCAGTAAAGCAAGATACAAGACACGAAGATAAAAGAATGGAGATATAGAAAAAGTGTCATCGAAGGTCATAAGCGAAGAAAATGGGATGGTGCTCATAATAAAATGTTATACGACGACTAAAATGAGGATAAGGTGTAAATATATTTGAGCCACTGAGGTCGATTCGGAGCTACTTCACATGGTGGTTGTAATCACGGATTTCCGTAGTAACGTGAACCACAAGCTGGAAGTTTAGATTTCCTTACATGCCTCAGACCCCGGTATTGATTTCGTTTAGGAACTTCCAACGTTCAAACTCTATGCCGAATCGGATACCAAGCATCCCCCGCCAAAACTGGAACCTCTAGCCATGGCTGTATGCTGTACGTCGGATCCAAGTGTAGCTATTAAACTGACCCTATCTGACCAGTGAGATTAATCTTCAAAAGTCCCCTAAAGAGTATCTGGGGTTCCTATGCTTAGCTATCGTGGACTCGTTGAAGTAAGCATGACACTCAGCTGTAGGCGAGAAAGTGAGCTTGCCGACTGGATGCTAGTCAGCAGCCATCTATGTGCTGTTTGACTGAATGGATCTGTAAAAACTAGGAAGCATCGCGAGATCAAACGATACCTATTCGTAATTGCCACCTACGCACCTACTGACTGCACTCCGGATGGTACAAAGCATGAATTTGATAAAACGCTGTAAATTTTGCTACGGAAGCAAAACGTTCAAGTGTGGTCATAATGGTAGGTGACTTTAACACTCAAGTACGGAAGCCAAGTCAATCGAAAAAGCATCTTGGGGCTATTTACGGAATCCCATGCCAACCAACCAGCACCTGATCCTTTGCTACAATTTTGTTTCTGTAAACACTTGTTTCGGACCATCCCTGACTTTTAGCATAAGGAGAGTCACCGTACTACATGGGGTCCGCCGACATCAAACCAACGATGGACACAAATAGATCATATCCCCATGAACCATAATTCGAGAGCATCAGTGCGGGATTGTCACTCTTTCCAGAATCCTGGTTTCCACTCCGACCACACTCTAGTAACTTTTCGTCCATATCTGTCCCTTAACAGTACCAGTAAACAGGCGATAGTAAACCCTCTCTATAGTCCATTGAAAAATGACAACATTCAGGGAGAAGTTAGCTAATCATTTACCTGAGCGTCAGAGATGCTCATGCTCAGGAAGCCTAGCGGGATATCAAGTCTGCTGTAGAAATGGCGGCAAAGGCAGCTGGTAACCTACATCAGAAAGTGAGAAAACGTCATTCGACTTCCGCAACCGCATTCGAACTCATTGACGCCAGAAGACTGATTCTAGCTGCCTCTCACCATGATGAAGAGTGAAAGCAAGCAACTTAAACGTAAGTTGGCCAAGTCTTCGCGTCTATCCTTAGCAGTGGTGGGTGACGAAAGAGAGAGGGATGGAGAATGCATCAACGTTGAATGACAAACAGAAACTATTTGGGCTTATCAAGGATACCGGTAAGAAAACGATGGTGAGTAAATCATCGCCGGAAAAGATGGGACGCTGATAAACCCTCAGGATAGACGGCTAAACAGTTAAGCAGAAAACTTCAAGAACAGTCCAATGGGCTCTCAGAAACACTTCACTTGCCAACATCCACTCTGAACCTAAATGGGACGTGGATATCTGTCCTACAACTCTCCTTGAAGTTGGGAAAGTTGTATCCAACCTGAAACGATGCAAACCACCAAGCCCTAAACAGTTTACCATGTAACACTTTCAAGGATGGGAGTAGGAAATTTCTGCACAAAGGTACGGCGATACTAGACAGCGTCTAGGAATCAGAACCAGTCCCGTCAGACTGCTACACTACACTGATCATCCCACTTTATAACAAGGGGAAGAAACCTTGTAACAACCAGAGTGGAGTCAGTTTGACTAATACTGTGTCTAAGATCCTAGGCTCCATTCTTATCCGATGCATAACTGGAGCTCGAGAACAAAAAACTCGAGAAATCCAGACAGGTTTCGAACCTGGACGAGGGCACACTCATCATATTTTTACCGTACGACAGGTTCTGGAAAACAGGCATACTTACCGGACAATGGCAATATTTGACTCAGATGACCATGAGGCATTGTGGCAGTGTCTGTATAAGTTTAATCAAAGCTCTCTACTTGAACTCACGCAGCCGTGTCACGGCTATAGGCAATTATCATGTGAAGTTATGGTAACAATTGCTGCGCAGTGATTACTTGTCTTTATCGAGCTATGCATTGCACATAACTACTGTGAATTCTAGCAGATAATTCAACTCACCTTCACTGGAAATTTCGAAACCATCAGGATTGGCTGATGGCATGAGATGGATCTGTGTATAGTTCACCAACAGTGTAACCAGTTCATCAGAACCGTAATTCAAACAAAGTAAATATGCAAGACGTATGATAAGTTCTCTCCCTATTGCCTCGTTACCATGCATATTTCCGACTATCTTAACTTCTGGAACTCCGAGCGCATGGTATTTTGATACTTTTCCGAAGGACAGAACCCATAAATCCCGACCGCCAACAGATTTACCAACAGTGTAAAGAGAGGTTATGGTTGGGCATCTCTTACTGACGGCTTCCATCTCATTGAAAAGCATGGCATAGTGAAGGTACCTGAGGCAATAAAACAACACTTTAATTACCTATTTTCCAGTCTCTCTTCATTTAATTCCCAATCCGAATGTTTCGTGTAAACAGACAGAGGTTCCACCATATGCAGAATCTTTTGCGATATATTTTCCGAATTGTAGGCCTTTATAAAACCAGCACATGTTGCACTAAATTTTTTGTAGAGATCAACTAATCAGCTTACATATTTAAAACTATGAAAAAATAACCAGCCGACATTGACCTTGAGCGGACGTGACAGTCAAATCACCCGGAAATAGTTTTCAGTTATGAGGATAGTAAGCCACTTAACCTGTGTTAGTCCTTGTAGAAGGTATCTGTGTGGAGATCTAGTCCCTCCTTAAACGCATTGGTGGAAGGTACTGAAATAACTCGCTGAGGCGGAGTTCCAGTCGTTAATTAAATGATGGGAGAAAAGCTTATTCCTGCTATGTTGATTCGATCGCGGTTTTTGGGTTTTCTAGTGATATCCTAGGAGATGCTCAGTCATAGCAGGAGATGAAAATAGGGTATATCAGTGCCGAAGTCCTTATTAGGGTAGGAAACGTCAATATGAGATCACACCTTTTTCTACGGTAACAAAGTAGGAATAAGTTTAGCCGATCCAGTCGTTTCTCATAGGATAGATTCCAAAGGCCTACCACAATCTTAGTACCTACCCTTTGAACACGTTTGAGCACATCAGCGTCCTTCTTTAGGCATGGGCTGGTCATTCGAATGCAGCATCCCAAGTGGGGTCTAGCGTAAGTAGGACAGAGCATTCTGAGCATATCCTGAACAAAACTTTTGAAAGCGGAAGCGCTTTGGTCCAGCTGCATTACAGTTCGCCGAGGTTTTCAAATCATGGCTTATGACGGCACCTAAGTCTTTCAGTTCAAAGACTGGAAGTAGTGGTGTACCATCAGCGGAATACTGGAAACAATTGCTGTGACCACTGTTCATTATCGCACTTTTGTTAGGGTTGATTTCCATGCACCAGAGTTTGGATCAACCTACCAGTTCATCCAAATCCGTTTAAAGTGTATACTTAGCAAAGTCACCACGTATGGCTCCCGAAACAATAAAATCCGGCATTTGGAGCAGAATGGCAGTCCACTAAACGATACTACGCACACTCTAAACTTCATCTTGCAGAAATAATTAACAGTGGTTCGTCGGGTTACACGTGTGACATGATGAAGTATATTCCACTTGTGGAATAGTCAGTTGTCTCTCTAAATAAAAGGAACCTGAAAGAATAGAGATAATCAATCGACTGTTTCCGACACAAACTGCAATCCTTGAGGAAGATTTGATCAGCTTGATATAGATGGTGTTTCTAACTACAGTTTGCATGACAGCGGGGAGCTTCTTGAGAACAGTCCACCGTGCCGAATGACTCTATAGATGCACTAAACCTCGTTTAAAAGCATCTGGAGAGGGAGCTGTGAAGACGACCTCAGGGGGGGATTTCACAGTTTACAAGTTCTAATCGCAACTGAGTTATGGCAGACACGAACGTGCTCTGTAACGCTCCAATCTGGAAGAATGGCCTCCAAGTTCGTGTTATCGATTAAAGCTTAAGAACGACCCGTTAGGATAAAGAGGATCGCGTGACATATGATATGTCCTGATCGGTTCTCTTCTTATCTTCCTATGTTGTACCGGGTGCAGCTTCGAAGCGATTCAGCATACCAGATGAGGTTTGTGTCGTATCCAAGTCAGTTTCTTCGTAGGTCTCCTCTGAAACCTTACTAAGATGACAACGTTACTTTTCAAATGGGAGAAACTTCAATGACTAGAGAAGTTTGTGCAAGTGAGCATCAATATATGGCCCGTGCAGTGTTGCAAAAAGACCCGGAACTAGACTACCTAGAGTATGAGACGGAAACACCAGGAGTGAAGATGCCATATTCGCTACGAGGCTTCAAGTGTCACTAAGGTCAATCCACGGATCTGTCTCAGTGTCTCAGTGAGAAATATTTATTTTCCGGGTGGAGTCGGAGGATAAGTTCACTGAAACAGCTAGTGCCACTTGCTTCAGTCGTCGCACACTTTGCAGGAGAGGTGGCATTTTTCTGGGCCTTCAGAAATCATTATAATAGTCCTGATTGAACTTTAGGCTAGCAATGAAAATTTCCGCTAAACACGTTAAATCAACTCCCCTTTCAGTTTGTCTAGACCTCTGAAATATGTCCTCTAAACGTACCAGTTACTCTTGGGGTTTTTTTAAGTGTTCTGATCCAATCACTTTCCAAAGTTATAACAAAGCGAAGGAAAGATATCATACGTTAAGGGGATGCACTTTTGGATACACAAAAATACATCACATTTCCATCCTTTGAACACCTATCTTCAATAACACATTCTTTTGCTAACTGAATGAACCACCACCAGTAAGCACCGAAAGCTAATCCAGTCCAAACTGACTGCTTGACGTTATTCTCTCTGATACCGTAGTTATGAATATCGTTCGGACGCCGCAATCACTTTGGCCGAAAGCATCGTTTTGGGAGTGAATTCGTTAATTCCTTACATCCTAAGAGTTTTGTGCTGAATCAAATATGCCGTCTGGAATAAAGCTATCACCATAAATAACTTATTTTGATCTCTGTCGGTGGTAGTTTGTGTGTGTGTGCGTGTGTGAAACCAGTATCTAGACGTCAACTGTTCCACTGTATCTCATAAGCTTTTTGATGATTTCTCCTTAGCTAAACTAATAAGACGAGCAAGGACTCTGATCGTACGGTGCGCAAAAATGAAATCCTCTCTCACCCTGCAGTAAGTCAATTCAAAAAGCTTAATAAATCCAGTCTTTCCCCAAGAAGGTTGGAGAACCCTTTGACCATACTGGTTCCAACCTCTGGCATGTTTCCTCCCCATTTAAAACACGACTTCGTTATTTAAATCTCATGCCTCGGATGGGTCCAAGACATTCCTAGCGCCAGATTCAAAGCTTTCTGATCGAAGCCCTGAAAGTAGGTCAGCAAAGTCCATGAGATCCGAAAGCATTTGCCACCCCTTGCTTAGCTGCTAACAGGGACACCTGGTCTGTGTATTTAGCCACCCTCAGCAGTCACTTATTGTTAATCAAGCAGTCGCCGGGGTTGCAGAGGCCTATTTGAACGACTGTACTCTCTCTGATATTATTTTTGCCGGTACCATATCATGAGCCAGTCTGCTTGGGGCAGTTAGGGCGTCATGTAGGAACAGCCTCTCCCCACCTTGAATGAGCCTCCAAAGCTAAACACAGAACACAAGCACGAGAATGGAAGACCACTTCGTCCTGGGCAACTGGTTCACGTGCAGCAGGAAGAAGAACTGGCCTTCAGGTGCTCCACTCCATCTGCATTAACATCCTGTCTTCTGCAGCAACAATTCCCAGGCTTAATGGAAACATCAATATTTAGGGTACAGTTAATTCGTGCAAAGGTTAAGATCAGTAACCGCAAACGCTTGTGATTTACATGAATGAGCGAATACTAACTCAAACCAGAAGAAACTATAAGTATTAATGTAGGCCAATGAAAGTGATGGATCATATTAAGCATGTAAATCGAAGGTAATAAAAGGAAGCAACCCACGCTAGGAGAAGACAAATCACATCTACTTTAGTGATACGAAAATCATTTTCACGGTAGGAATTTTATATTGCATTACTAGTTGAGTGTGTCTACATACCACTTGATACCCTATGCATCCATACCATGCAACTGATTACAACTCTAGAACATGCATCCTCTCTTCCATGTGATCCCGGGATCATAAACTTTAGGAAGCACGACTTACGAAGCACACGTTACTTCCTTTTCGTTGTCCTCGTGCTTTTGGATCTTGGCAATTCGGTCACGATCTAGTTACAATTTTCGCCCACAGATTAAGGCATCTACACACTTGTATTATCTGCTAACTGTTACTACCATCTCCGCAACTGTTGGTTGCATATCTCTGGTTTTCATCAATGGTTGAGTTTTGAAATGGGCTGGACTTCAGTGCACTTCGCTACCTGACGAAAAATTGTAGCATTTCGCTGTTTTATATGCCAGTTTGCTGCCAACGGTGAGGTTGAAAGACAAGTAATAACTTTAATCTGTGTTTCAGCAAAATTTCTCAGCTTTCTGTTTTACTGTCAGACAATAGGCGTTTATTATTGTCTGGTGTCTGTACCCTGTGACGCCAACATGAGTGACATTATCATTGCCGTAAATAAACCAGTCCATAAAGCTAGGAGACCAAAATTCTGAACCCGCATGAAAATAGTTCATCTACTAACGGTCCCCCTGTCGATCTGTCAGGCGTCACGGCTGACGTATATTGCATAATATCTTGAACAAAAGCAATGTAGTTGCTGATCTGCAGCGTAAACTAGGTCGCCCTGCACCTCTAGTCTGCCTGCTGAACCCACAGCAGACTTATCAGTGGACAGTCTAGTCTGGTGTGAAACATTAGTGAATCTTGTAGCCACTGAAGCAAGCGGACTACTGACCTCGTCACACAACTCCGTCTTCCTAAATGTCCCTGAGTGTTTCACTAAAACGCGTTAAAGCGACCTCTTCCAAGCCCGTGGTTTGCATGAATCTGTCTGCACAGTCCGGCGTCTTAGGAAGGGGACTGGTAAATATCTCTGTCCAATATCATCCCAGTTCAACTCACCCCTGATGCGAGACACTTCCGCGGTTCGCATAAGTCTGTAAGACTCAAAATTCTATGGGAATGCCGAGGTGTTCCAGATCTTACCCCCTGTCAACGACGCACGCGCGGTTCGAAACCTTATGAAGTCCCTCTGGAAACCCCATCCGAGCCAACGGCCACCCGAGACACACTGGCGCCTGGGAGTCAGTCCATGGCACCAGACAACATCGTAAGCGTAGATCGAAAAGGCCGACCTAGCATGCTGTTGCAAGTGCATCGGTTGCTTCCGCCTAGCCCACCAACATAGCGCAACCGCTGAAACTGAAGGTCAAATATCTGCCGGTTATGCAAATTTACTCGCAGGTAATTTCGATAATAACGGTAATAATGTATCCGATATGCACCTGATCTCGCTGAATTACAGACGAAACCTGCGTACCCCAGATGCAATTGCGCTGACAAACCTTCACCCCCCCTTTAAGCCTCTCACATGCGATGGTGACCTCCAGGTGTATTGACAATGCATGGTCTCAAAGTGCCACGTTTTGACGATCAAAACCTAAAAATCTTAGCTCGGATTTACTGCCAAAGCCCATGGCACAGAAACG